CCCCTGGGGTCCTCCTCAGCCAGCCCTGGGAAAGCCTGATCTTGACTCCACTTCCCAGAACTGACATGCACATGGGCTGGTACACACATGCACAGACACATGAACATTCAGACCCCAAGGCTGCCTCCAGGTTTCTCTGAAACAACAGGAAGGCAGTGGAGAGGATGAGACACCAAGTATGTCCCCAGCCTTTGGGCAGGACCTGCGCAGACAGTCTAGTTCCTGGCCTCACAGGGTGCAGAGGGCAGAGGACAGATGAGCTCACAGGACCAGTGGCCAGCCTGAGGGAGCCCAGCCCTGGAGCAGAAAGCCCTGCTGTCTATCCTCAACAAGCCACAGACAGACCAGGGAGGAGGGGGCAGAGGGCAGAGGCCCAGGAGGGCAGAGGCAAGCCCATTTGCTGGCGGAATTCCACTTCAGATGGATGTAGAAGTGCCACAGAAGTGCCAGGCAGGGCAGTATGATGGGCTCCATGGAGAGGCGGTGCGCGCTCACCTCCGAGAGAGCTGGGGGGCAGCGAGGGGGCTGGGGAAGCAGAGCTGAGAATTCCCTCTCCGACGCCATCTTCCTGCCTCCACACCCTGGCCCTCAGGGCCCCCTCCCCCCCGCCCTCTCCCCCCCACCCCTCTCTTCCCTCTCCCTCTGCCCCCTTTCCACCTCTGAGCTCTGCTGAGCCACCCTGCTCCCCCCCCCCCAGTTTCCTCTAATTTTCCAATTGTAGTAAAACCTACATAACATTCTGGAGCGGTTTTTTGGATTGAAAGAGCGGCATAAGCCTTGGCAGCGTTAAAGCAATTCCTTATGCAAGTAATGAATGCGACCTGGCGGCACCCAACCCAGACAGCCACTGTGTGTGGATCCTGCGTTCCTGTTTTTATAATTATTAATTTTATTATTATTTTTTGGTCAGTCGTGGGGCTTGAACACTGGGCACTGTCTTAGCTTTTCAGCTCAAGGTGAGCGCTCTACCATTTGAGCCACAGCACCACTTCTTTTTTTTTTTTTTCTGTGATTAACTGGAGATGCGGGGGAGAGGGGGGAGGGGGGGAGGGGAGCCAGGAGGAGAAAATGAGGGAGGGGGTAACATATTCACAAAAAAGGTGCTCATTACCTTACTTATGTAACTGTAATCCATCTGTATCACCTTTATGATACAGTTTTATTTTTAGATTAAAAATATTGTAAAGATGCTATACAGAGGGAAATTTTATTTTTTATTTATTTTGTCAGTCGTGGGGCTTGAACTCTGGGCCTGGGCACTGTCCCTGCGCTCTTCAGCTCAAGGTGAGCGCTCTACTGTTTGAGCCACAGCACCACTTCTGGTTTTTTAGTGGTTTATTGGAGATAAGAGTCTCTCGGACTTTCCTGCACGGGCTGGTTTTGAACCGTGATCCTCAGATCTCAGCCTCCTGAGTAACTAGGATTACAGGTATGAGCGACCGGTACCCAGCTGAAACTTTTTTTTTTTTTTGGGTCCGGTCGTGGGATCTGAACTCTGGGCCTGGGCGCTGTCCCTCAGCTCTTCAGCTCAAGGCTAGCACTCTACTACTTTAGCCACAACGCCATTTCCGGCTTTTTTCTTTTTGCTTATGTGGTGCTGAGGAATCGAACCCAGGGCCTCATTCATGCAAGGCAAGTGCTCTACCACTGAGCCACCTTCCCAGCCCCAACATTTTTTTTAAAGTCTCACGGACTTTCCTGCCCAAGCTGACTCTGAACTTTGATCTCAGATCTCGGCCTCCTGAGGAGCTGGCATGACAGGCGGGAGCCAGCAGTGGCCAGCTTTTCTCTGGTGTTGAATCCGGCCACCGCTGCCCACTGCTGTGTCTCCAGTGTGGACACCTGCCCTGGAGACTTCTGCTCAGACTGAGGCTGAGACCACAGGAATGACAGCCCCACCCATCCTTCAGGCACTTGATCTTCTAGAAATTCTATTCTGAGCTGGGCAGAGCAGCACACACCTGCAGTTCCAGCACTCAGGAGTCAGAAGATCTTAAGTCCCAGGCAGACCTGGGCTAATATGAGACTGTGGCTCAAACAAACAAACAAACAAAACAATATCAAAGTTTGCTATGGAAAGACTTTCAAACATGCGCACAAGCAGCGGAGGTATTGAGAAATTCATCAAGCCTAGCTCCCCCCAACTTGAGAAAAAATGCCAGATCCTCTCCCAGTTGTCGAAGTCACTTGGACGTCCTATCTTCAAGCAAAGACATGCCCTCTGTCTGTTGTGGGGCTTGAACACGGCCTGGGCGCTGTCCCTGAGTTCTTCAACTCAAAGCTGGTGCTCTACCATTTGAGCCACAGCACCACTTCTGGTTTTCTGGTGGTTCATTGGAGGTAAGAGTCTCATGGGCTTTCCTGCCCAGGCTGGCTTTGAACTGAGATCCTCAGATCTCAGCCTCCTGAGTAGCTAGGATGACAGGCGGGAGCCACTGGTGCTCAGCGAGACGTGCCCTTTGGAAGGAAGGGGCCCGCAGGGCATGTGTGCCCCATCCCAACACAGGCTGAACCTCTCTAGACAAAGGTGGGGAGAGACCTCGACACGGCTAGATGGGAAGCTGACCCTGGAGCAGATGGGGAGCCAGGCAGCAGAGCCGCGGAAGGGATTTTGGCAGGTCCCTTGTCCCTCCAGGGAGGTGTGAGGAGCGTGGGGGGCCTGCCTGGTGCTGTAGATGGTTTCCACATGCCCCAGGGGACATGTTCTTGGAAATGGTGCTCTGGGGCTCGGAAGGGGAGGCCTCTGCAGTGGCTGTGCCTGCGGGCATTCACTGGCCAGCCCCTTGTGTGCCACAGGGCTGGTGCCTGGATGCCACTTGCCCCAGTGTGTCTGCCTGGACACACAGCAGGCAGGACGACCGGGCCTAGAGCCAGGACGGACAGTGCCCGAGGCCTGCCAGGTGCCTGGGCTCCCAGCCCTTGGCTCCCTGCCTTCCCAGCTGCCCTTCTCCCCTGGGGTCTTCTTGCTGCTAGGTCCCTGGGCAGCACCCTTGAGTTTCGGGCCAGGGCCTGGGCCTGTGCCTGGATGTCAAAATGTTTGGAAGAATCGGCGCTCTGCGGGAAGCCATTGTCTACCTCTCTCCTTGCCCAGGCTGCAAAACACTTCCCAGGGCATCCCTCAGGCTGGGGCTCGGGACGCCCTACTCACCAGTGTTCATTTACAGTCTCCAACACTGGCCCCAGGCTGCCCGCCCCACAGGGGCCTTTCAGAGGTCTGCCCTCTGCTAGGGGCCCTGGTATCCTCCCTCCTCCCCGTCCTACAAGCCCCTCCCCCTCTGGGCTCCCGCACACCAAAGCCACTCATCAGCACATCGGTCACCTGGCCAATGGCCTAAGTGCCCTGAACAGCCTGCTCCCAGCACATGTGGCCCTGGCCTCCACCGGGCGGCCAGCACTGCCCGGCACGCAGACCCTCAGCTTGCTAACAGGACAATGTGGCTGCTGTCTGGCAGGAGGAGAGGGGCTCGTGTGGAGGGGGCTCTGGCTGAGGCTGACCGGTGTCCAGTGCCCTGGCTGAGGCTGACCAGTCTCCCCGTCCCGCACACCCATGGCAGGAAGTAGCCCCAGCGGGAGGAAGGAGGCGCAGCCGTGGCCTCTTGCCTGGGGTCTCCTGGCACGTGGTGACAGGTAGCTTCCAGGATTCTGGAAGCAGGCCAGGGATGGAACGCCTCCCGAGGGCTGGGGAGACACCCTGTGAGCCACGCGATCCTGCTCTCACTGCTGGGCAGTGAGCCACAGGAGCCAGGCTGGCGGGGGTAGGGGGTGGTGGTGGGGGCCTCAGCCGGCCTGGGGGCCTCAGCCGGCCAGGAGGGGGTTCTCGGCCGGCCTGGGGGTCTCAGCTGGCCAGGAGGGGGTTTCCGGCGGGCCTGGGGGTCTCAGCTAGCTGGGGGGGGGGGTTCTCGGAGGCCGGCTGGGACCAGCCCCGCACCGGGACCCTGGGACAGCCCTTCCTCTCCCCGCGGCCTGCACCCCAAACCCCCGCGCGCCCTCGGCCTGCCAGCCACAGCTGCACAGGCCTCGGCCAGGCGGAGCCCCCGCCCTGCGCGCGAGGCCCTATCGGCCCCTCCGGGAACCAGGGCGACCCGCACCTCTCTCGCGCGGCCGGGCTCCTGGGAGCGGCAGGCCGATGCTGGCGCCCCGCCCCGCCCCGCCGCGCCCCGCCCCGCCGCGCCCCGCCCCGCCCCGCCGCGCCCCGCCCCGCCCCGCCCCGCCGCGCCCCGCCCCGCCCCGCCGCGCCCCGCCCCGCCGCGCCCCGCCCCGCCCCGCCCCGCCGCGCCCCGCCCCGCCGCGCCCCGCCGCGCCCCGCCCCGCCGCGCCCCGCCCCGCCCCGCCCCGCCGCGCCCCGCCCCGCCCCGCCGCGCCGCGCCGCGCCCCGCCCCGCCGCGCCCCGCCCCGCCGCGCCCCGCCCCGCCGCGCCGCGCCCCTCCCCGCCCCGCCGCGCCCCGCCCCGCCGCGCCCCGCCCCGCCGCGCCCCGCCCCGCCGCGCCCCGCCCCGCCGCGCCCCGCCGCGCCCCGCCCCGCCCCGCCGCGCCCCGCCCCACCCCCGCCGCGCCCCGCCCCGCCGCGCCCCGCCGCGCCCCGCCCCGCCCCGCCGCGCCCCGCCCCACCCCCGCCGCGCCCCGCCCCGCCCCGCCCCACCCCCGCCGCGCCCCGCCCCGCCCCGCCCCACCCCCGCCGCGCCCCGCCGCGCCCCGCCACGCCCCGCCCCCGCCGCGCCCCGCCACGCCACGCCCCGCCACGACCCCCCCCCCCCGCCCCGCCGCGCCCCGCCCCGCCGCGTCCCGCCCCGCCCCGCCGCTCCCCGCCCCGCCGCGCCCCGCCCCGCCGCGCCCCGCCCCGCCGCGCCCCGCCCCGCCCCGCCCCGCCCCGCCGCGCCCCGCCCCGCCGCGCCACGCCCCGCCGCGCCCCGCCCCGCCCCGCCCCGCCACGACCCCCCCCCCCCCCCCCCCCCCCCCCCCGCGCCGCGCACTGGGCATGCCCAGAGCCGGCCCCGGGCCCGCCAGGTCCCGACCGCGAGGACGCTGACCGCCGCCATGGACCGCATCGAGGGGGCGGCGGTGGGCCCCTGCGCCAGCTCGCCCTACCTGAGGCCGTTTACGCTGCACTACCGCCAGGTGAGGCGCCCGCCGGCAGCGCCCCGCCGTCCGCCGGTCCCCGGGCCGAGGCCGTGGGCTCCGCCCCGTGCCAACCGCCCCGCCCCGAGCCCCGCCTACCGCAGCCCCGCCCACTCGCCCGCCGTGCCCCGCCCACCGAGGCCAGGCCCCGGGCACGCCCCCTGCGATGCTGTGCCCCGCCCACAGCGCCAGCCTAGGCTCCACCCACACACCCGGCCTCCGTCCCCCGCCCCCCCCCCCAAACGGGCTTGGCATCTGCACCCCAGGCTCCCCACGCCTGGCTGCGGGTTCGCAGACAGGGTGAGCTCCTCCCTAGGGGACCCCAGAGCGGCGTGGGACCCCTCGGGGCCCCAGGGCTTAGGGAAGGCCGCGGGAGGGGTCCCGGAGGAGGAGGAGGAGGTTGAGGAGAGGAAGGAGGGTCCAGGCAGACCGGGCCACCTCCCCGTGTGGTTCTGGGCAGCAGGGCCTGGCGCGGGCCTGTGTGGACGAGTCCCTGCAGCCTCCTCTACTCTTCCCGTCCTTCCCCTCCTGGCCACCTTCCTGACGGCTTCTCTGGCCAGCCACCCTCACCTGCTCACGCTGCTCACAGGAACACGGGCCTGGGTCAAGACAGCCCCTCCCTGGGCCTGCACCAGGTCAGTCAGTCCAGAGCTGTGGGCGTTTTCTACCTCCTGGACTGGAGTGCCCTGTCCCTCCCTGTCATGGCCAGGCCTCCATGTGTTGCCCATCCTGCCCGAGGCTTCTGTTCCTCCCATTTCCCACCGTGGTAGTCTTGGAGGATAGAGCAAGGTCAGTTCTGGTCCAGGAGGACACAGCTAGGGCCAGTGAAGAGGCAAAGATGGAGACTTGGGAGGTCCTTTTGCTTTCTCTGGTCTGGAGTGGGGAGGCTTTTGGACATGGGGCTGTGACTCAGCCCCCAAGAGCCAGGACCCAAGGCAGTAGTACGGGCAGGTGCTGCTTTAAGCATGCAGCTGCCAAGACCCGTGCGAAGCGTTCTTCCCAGGTTCCTGGGAAGTGTGGTGTGGGCACTTCTGCAGTCTTGGCCAGTGGCCGATCGCCTGTTTCCAATGACAGCAGAGCAGAGCTGAGCAGGCAGAGCCATGATAGGGGCAGGAGCAGGAGGACACTGGCTTGGGCACTGTTTGCCACTGGGCATGAGGGTTGCTGGTTCTGGGACTTGAGCTCTGGGCTTGGGCTCTGCCCCTCACTCTTCAGCGCAAGGCGAGCGCTGGTTCTGGGGCTTGAACTCTGGGCTTGGACGCAGTCCCTCAGTTCTTCAGCTCAAGGCAAGCGCTCTACCACTTGAGCCATAGCACTGCTTCCAGTTTTCTGGTGGTTTATTGGGGGTAAGAGTCTCACAGAGTTTCCTGCCCAGGCTGGGCTGGCTTTGAACGGTGATCCTCAGATCTCAGCTTCCTGAGTAGCTAGGATGACACGTGTGAGCCACTGATGCCCGGCTCATTTTTTTTTTTTTTTTGCTGCATCTGGCAAGAGGAGGCCTGGATAGGCAGAAGACATCCTGAGCAGGATGAGGCCCCCTAACTGCCTGCCTCGGTGTGCCTTGGTCAATAACCAGACCTTCTACTCATCTTGCTGGAACTAAGGGCCTGACAGGGCTTTTGATCTTGAGCTGAGAATGTCCTGGGACTTGACCTGTTCTAGGGAGCTGTGGGGGTGGGCATGGAGGGGAGGAAGGGGGCAGTCCTGGAGCCTTCCAGGACGGGTGGCTCACCCCAGGTGGCTGGATGTCAGGCAGGTCTGGGCTCGCCCCATGGGGCCTCCTGGGCAGCCTGACCTGTGCAGGACACTGGCTCTCCACTCCCCTTGGAAACCAGGCTGCTGCCACCTGCCCAGGATGCACGCCTCCGCTACAGCCAAGTTCGAGTGGGTCTTGCTGACCTGCTGGGCCTTGACTTGCTGATCTGTGGGACTCTCCTCACCTCTGTGCCTCATCCAGGAAGCCCTCTATAGGGCTGTGCCTTGGCCTCTGGTTGTACAATAGGTCTCCTGGGCTCAGGTAGTTTCCGAACCGTGGCCTGGATGGAGCCCCAGCATCTGTGGTGAGCTAGTCATGGCTCAAGACTGAGCGGGAGACTGAGTGGCAGGTGACCTGCACAGGTGGGGCATGGGCAGAATCCAGGTTGAGTCTCATCAGCACAAACTCTTCAGGGAGTGATGGCCACTGTCTGCTGCAGCCCCTGGGTGGGAGCCTGCCCTGCCCAGGTGGGATCCTGGGCCCCCCAGCATGTCTCCTTGTGGGACCACAGCAAGTCTGGGTCCTGGCCTGGTTGTGTACCTGGAAGATGACCCTGCCAGCTATATGAAGTCTGAGGAAGGGGCCAGGGTTCTGTTAGTGTTGGCCCTGGCTCACCCCTGCCCCGTGAGTCCTGTGTGGACACTGGAAGCCTGTCTCACCTCAGCAGAAGCTATCTAGGTCAGAGGCGTCCCCCTGTCCACCACATCACCAAATCCAGCAGTCCTGCAATGCGGTCAGCCTGGTGTGGAGCCCAGGGAGGCTGGCCAGCCCCTCCCTCCCGTCGTCCTGTGGACCTGAGCCCTGCTCTGCACCCTTGGTGTCCTCCCAGCTCTGCCTGTGATGGTGCCGTGCCCTCTCTGGGTCTCATGGGCCTAGCCACCCTGTGGCAGCCCCCCGGGCCCGGGGGGACCTCTCCTGTGCACACCCCTATCCCAGAGCCTCAGGAGGCCGCTGGCCTCTGTCCAGCCAGGTGGCTGCTTCCTCCCTCACCCCACAGTTCCCCACTTCCAGTGGACGCGGGCAGTGAGCAGGTCCCCCTGGCTGGCAGCGGTGGGGTAGGTCTGTCTGGCCCTATAAGCCCCACGTAAGGCATCTCTGAGCCGGCAGCCCGTGACCCTGGCTGCCATCTTTCCACTTTCAGAATGGTGTCCGGAAGTCCTGGGACTTTATGAAGACATATGACAGGTGAGGGCCAGGTGTGGTGCTGGGCTCGGTGTGGTGCTCGGACTGACCCTGGGGCCTGGAAGTGTGGAGCCCCCACCGCCAGCCTCTGCTCCCTTCACAACTCTTGTCTTATTGTGACGATTACTACATTTACGCTTTTGCAGTTCTGGAGATGGACCTTAGGGCCTTGCTTTCTCTAGGCAGGCTCTCTACCACCCGAGTCCCAGCCCAGCCTGCAGACAGGAGTCTGACCTGGTCGCAGGGAGGCCAAGCCACTGCCCTACCCCAGCACCTAAGATGTGGACTGGACAGCCATTGGCTTGAGGGCCTGGCTGGCGGCCAGACTCCTTCCACCATCCCACTGCGGCCCGCCCAGGCCCCCAGCGGGTCCTCGGCGCCCCCATCCCCTCATGGGACCCCAGCAAGTCTGGGTCCTGACCCTGCCAGCTCTATCTAGCCTGAGGAAGGGACCGGGGTTCTGAGGCTGGGGGACAGGGAGGCATGCTGGGGAATGAGGACGGGCCAGAGCCACCGTGCGGGGCCACGGCGTGGCGTCTGCTTCTGTGTGACCGTGCTCATGTTCAACGCTTCTCGAAGGAGCCTGGTGCTGGTGAAGCAGTTCCGGCCAGGTGAGGCGCGCGGCAGGGCGGGGGCATCCTGAGTACAGGTGGTGGGGGTGGCCGGGCCAGTGGGGCGCTCAGGTGAGCACCGTGGGGCCGTTCGTCCCACCAGCCGTGTATGCGAGTGAGGTGCAGCGCCCCTTCCCCGAGGCCTTGGCCGCCCCAGCCCAGGGTGGGCTTCAGGAGCTGCCGCTGGCACTGCTCAGCTCTGTGGGGGTGACGGTGGAGCTGTGCACCAGCCCTGGACCAGCCGGGACTCCCGCCGGAGCAAGTAGCCTGCAAGGAGGCTTTGGAGGAGTGTGGCTACCACCTAGCCCCCTCTGACCTTCGCCAGGTGGCCACGTACAGGTGAGGGTGGGGTGGTCGGGAGGTGAGGGCGGGGTGGAGGTGAGGGCGGGGTGGTCGGGAGGTCAGGGCGGGGTGGAGGTGAGGGTGGGGTGGTCGGGAGGTGAGGGCGGGGTGGAGGTGAGGGCGGGGTGGAGGTGAGGGCGGGGTGGAGGTGAGGGCGGGGTGGTCGGGAGGTGAGGGCGGGGTGGAGGTGAGGGCGGGGTGGAGGTGAGGGCGGGGTGGAGGTGAGGGCGGGGTGGAGGTGAGGGTGGGGTGGTCGGGAGGTGAGGGCGGGGTGGAGGTGAGGGCGGGGTGGAGGTGAGGGCGGGGTGGTCGGGAGATCAGGGCGGGGTGGAGGTGAGGGCAGGGTGGTCAGGAGGTGAGGGCGGGGTGGTCGGGAGGTGAGGGCGGGGGGAAGGTGAGGGCGGGGTGGAGGTGAGGGCGGGGTGGTCGGGAGGTGAGGGCGGAGTGGAGGTGAGGGCGGGGTGGTCGGGAGGTGAGGGCGGGGTGGAGGTGAGGGCGGGGTGGAGGTGAGGGCGGGGTGGTCGGGAGGTCAGGGCGGGGTGGAGGTGAGGGTGGGGTGGTCGGGAGGTGAGGGCGGGGTGGAGGTGAGGGCGGGGTGGAGGTGAGGGCGGGGTGGAGGTGAGGGCGGGGTGGTCGGGAGGTGAGGGCGGGGTGGAGGTGAGGGCGGGGTGGAGGTGAGGGCGGGGTGGTCGGGAGATCAGGGCGGGGTGGAGGTGAGGGCAGGGTGGTCAGGAGGTGAGGGCGGGGTGGTCGGGAGGTGAGGGCGGGGTGGAGGTGAGGGCGGGGTGGAGGTGAGGGCGGGGTGGTCGGGAGGTGAGGGCGGGGTGGAGGTGAGGGCGGGGTGGAGGTGAGGGCGGGGTGGAGGTGAGGGCGGGGTGGTCGGGAGGTGAGGGCGGGGTGGTCGGGAGGTGAGGGCGGGGTGGAGGTGAGGGCAGGGTGGTTGGGAGGTGAGGGTGGGGTGGAGGTGAGGGTGCGGTGGTCGGGAGGTGAGGGCGGGGTGGAGGTGAGGGCAGGGTGGTCGGGAGGTGAGGGCGGGGTAGAGGTGAGGGCAGGGTGGTCAGGAGGTGAGGGCGGGGTGGAGGTGAGGGCGGGGTGGAGGTGAGGGCAGGGTGGTCGGGAGGTGAGGGCGGGGTGGAGGTGAGGGCAGGGTGGTCGGGAGGTGAGGGCGGGGTGGTCGTGAGGTGAGGGTGGGGTGGTCAGGAGGTGAGGGGCGGGGTGGACAGACGGGCATCTAGTCTGGAGGAAGACACAGGATGCAGGGAGGGAGAAGGGACGCAGGCAGGTTCCTCTTGCTTTCAACCCGTGGCTGGAGGAAAGGTGGGGCACATGTGCCTTAGGTGCTAGGCCGGGTGGGACCTGGGGATCCGCAGGGCTGGGTCTGCGCCCCCAGCCTGCAGCCGCAGCCACGAGGAGCCAGGCCCCAGTGGCAGCTGCCGCTGACAGATGCCCCACTTCCTGTGGGATTAAGCCCTGGGTGCCGGGGGTGGGTGAGTCACAGCTCTCTTCTCGGTGTGGCTCAGGAATGAGGAGAGGCTGTCTTGGGCCACGGGCCTCTGGGGAGGGGGAAGCCCGGGCACCCCATTCGCGTCCCTATGGGCCTGCTGGCTAGGCAGTCTTTGCAGGACAGGCTGCTGGGGTGCAGCTGTCCCTCCCTTGGAGCCCTGGCCCAGGTCTTGACCCCACCTGGGGTCCGGGGAGAGGGTTGTGTGGTGCCCATCATCCAGCTGAGGGGGTGCTGGCCTCTGGGCGCCTTTCTGGAGGGCTGGGTGCCCTTCTACCTGGGAAGGGCCAGATGTCTCTTCTGCTTCCTGTCACTCGCTGCTGAGCCTGCCACCTGGCCGATAGCCCTGGCTGGAGGGGCCCAAGTTGCAGGGTGGGTTTCCCTGGCAATGGGTTGGAGGCCTTGCTTAGTCTGGGCTGCCTGCAGGGTCCTCTGTGGACGGCCAGTGCTTGCTGCCGGCTCTCCCCAGAGAATCCAAGGGCCAGGCCTGGCTGAGTTCAGCCAGGAGGCAGCTGTGGAGCAGCCGGGGGGATTGGGGATGGGTCTTGCGGAGGTTGGAGGGCCAGTGGAACAAGTAGCCCTGGCTGCAGTGGGTCCGTAGACTGGGCCTCAGGCTCTGCCTGACTCTGAAGGTGCTGGGGAGCCTAGCAGTCTAGCCAGCGGGCATCCTACTCAGACATGAGCTCTGGGGAGGTCATGGCGCCTGTCCCTGTCAGCATGGGGGGTCCGTCCGTTCCATGACAGAGTAAGAGGCTTCCTATCTGTGGTCCTGGAGGTAAGCCAGACTACTCACCCACCAGTCACATGTGGCAAGCCCAGGAAGGCCAAGTACCAGCTGACGACCTGAGTGAGTGAAAGCAGGGGCTGGGGATACAGGCTGGAGACGCCACAGGCTGGCTGCGTCCATGAAGGGGCAGAGGGTAGCCATCCGGAAAGGGCGTGGGGATGCAGAGGGGACTGGGGGGCCCGCGTCGGCCCTTGTGGGGAGGAAGGCATGGGCGCGTCACCATTTCTGCCCCCAGGTCTGTGTGGGACACTTGGTCTCCACACCCTTTGGGCCCCGGCTATCCTTGGTTGCGCACCACCCGGCTATCCTTGGTTGCGCACCTGGTACCCTGACCCAGACTTCTCTTTAGATTCCCTGTGCCGCCCCGTCCCGTTCCTGGCCCCTCCCACCCTTCCTGGCCCCTCCCACTCCTTCCTGGCCCCTCCCACCCCCGTTCTGGCCCCTCCCACCCCTTCCTGGCCCCTCCCACCCCCGTCCTGGCCCCTCCCACCCCGTTCTGGCCCCTCCCACCCCATCCTGGCCCCTCCCACCCCATCCTGGCCCCTCCCACCCCATCCTGGCCCCTCCCACCCCTTCCTGGCCCTCCCACCCCTTCCTGGCCCTCCCACCCCTTCCTGGCCCCTCCCACCCCGTTCCTGGTCCCTCCCACCCCATCCTGGCCCCTCCCACCCCTGTTCTGGCCCCTCCCACCCCGTTCTGGCCCCTCCCACCCCTCCTGGCCCCTCCCATCCCTTCCTGGCCCCCCCCCCATCTTCCCACCCCAGTCACTCCTCTCAGCACTGCTCTTGAGCTCTTCGTCCTGTGCGTCAGAGGCTGGTAGTCTGCAGGCCCAGCTGCGTCAGGCCTGCCGCCTTTGCCCGTTTCCCAGCCAGCCAGGGGTCCCGGGTATGGATGGCCTGGGCGTTAGAAGGGAGCTTTGGGCTCAGTCTGCAGAGGGGAGGCAGCCCCAGGAGCTTACCGGGTGGGGCGGGCCTGGCAGGGATGCCAGCCACCCGCTCTGGGACTTTTGGTTTCTGTGGGTGTGAAGTCTGTCCAGACGCTTGATGTGAAGTCCAGGGTCTCACCTGTCAGGGCGCTCAGCCAGATCCAAGATGTGTCCATGTCTGGGGTCCTCTTCCCAGCTCACAGGACCGTTGCCAAATTTTACTATGGGCATGGACAGAAGCCGTGTCTCCTTGCGGGCTGTTGGCCGGGCCTCTCAGCTGCTCTGGCTTCTGCCCCGGGCCTCTACAACATGGCAGGTTATGTATCCTCTGGGCCAATGGACAGCAACTCTCTGGCCATGGCGCCCTCTCTGATGAGGTCTTAGGGTTACCCTCAAGGAGCCTGGGAAGGTCCCAAGTCTCCTCTACACAATCACACCTGTTCTGACACGAACCATGGTGGAGTTGTGGAAAGCATGCCGCTCGAGGGGACAGATTCCAAGGACCTGCCGACCAGGGTCCGGGTCAGGAGGGCCTCAGGCAGGACACTCAGGGTCCTGCTTGCTAGAAGGGCAGCAGTGCAGAGTGGGTGACCGGGTGTGTTACAGGTGCTTTGCTGAGCATTTCCCTGGGTCCTGTCTCCTCCTGCAGGGCTGGAGTGGGACTGACTGGCTCCAGGCAGACCATGTTCTACGCTGCGGTGACAGACGCCCAGCGCAAGGGACTGGGTGGAGGTGTGGCGGAGGAGAGTGAGCTCATTGAAGTTCTGCATCTGCCTTTGGATGTGCCCAGACCTTTGCGAATGACCCCGACGTCCCCAAGACACTTGGCGTTATATTTGCCATCTCTTGGTTCTTCAGCCAGATAGCCCCTGACCTGGGTCTCCAGCGAGACCTGGAGGTCCTTCCTGCCCAGTTGCCCTCCACCTTGCAGAACCAATAAAGCATGCGAGGTTTGGCCAGCGGCCACTTCTGAGCTCTGTGACCTGGGATGTCCCCAAGTGGGGGTGTGGGCTCCCCTGGAGGCTTGCAGGTAGTCGTTCTGGGGAGCAGAGGCTGGCAGAGGGCTGGGGACAGAGCAGGAGCCCTGCAGGAAGGCCCTGCAGCAGCTTCTCCCAGGCAGGGGAAGGGGTGCAGGGCGAGGCTGGCTGTGGGCTCAGGAGGGCTCGGTGTTCAGGCTGTCAGAGCCTGAACACTGAGAGGAGGGGCTGCCCTGCTCTGACTTCTCGGCTGGTGAAGGACCCCGCTGAGGGGTGTGCTGGACTCTTCCCCGGATGCCGTAGGGACCTCACTCAGCCAGCGGAGGACGAGGAGTGTGCGGCCTGCCCAGGGTACGTGCGCAGGCCAGGCCTGTGTGGGTATGACCTGGGTCCTGGCCTGCGGGTGTGCGGATGTGCAGTGCACACAGCTCAGAGCCGCCCTCTGGGTCCCGGGGTGCCTTGGGGTGGCAGGAGGGCTGCGCAGACCACAAGCAGGCCTGGAGTCATTTAGGGAGTGAGGTAAGGCTTGATTGACCCTTTCAAGTCTGGTGACCCGGCCTGGCCCTTCCCCAGAGCCCCTTCTCCCAAACGCTAGGTGGTGGCTCACTGACCTGGACCTGCTCTGTGCCTCCTGTCCCCCCTTTGCCCCCCTCCCCCCTCCCAACCCAGTGCCCTGGGACCGGGCTCTGAACTGAAATGGTGCAGTCCTCAGGGTTGACAGACAGCCCCTGCAGGACAGGCTGGAGCACCCAACTCCGCGTGGCCCCACCCCAGGGGCTCAGGCCTCCGCTCCTGCCAGCCCACACAGCAGTACAGGGCACGGGCTGGACGCCCCGGGGGCCTGGCGTGGAGGCAGCGCCCCCTCAGGCAACGCCACCTGTATACAAATATGGGTCACAACCCAGGTGGGGCCTCCGCCAGGTGAATGGAGGGGCGGTAGGTGTGCAGTGTGTATCCAGGGGCGGGCAGCAGTGGGCACATAGCAGCTCAGCTCCGCCCCACCCAGAGAAGGCCCAGCAGGACAAGATCCTTAGGACAAGAGCCCAGCCCAGCCCCTGCTGCCCCTGCTCTGCCTCTCTGGTGCTCACCCTGGGACCCAGGGCCCCCTGGTGACCGGCAGGCCTTGCTGCTGCCTCAGGGACTTGTGGGGTGCTGCGTGGGGCAGCTGGCTCTGAAGCACCCTTGAGAGGGCTCTGAACACGGGGGGTGGGGGGTGGGGGGCAGGCACCTGGACTTGGGTGCAGTCCAGGCCCCTTGCTCTGCGCCACAGCCCGGTGGGCAGGTCAGAAGGCGCTGCCGCTGGGCCTAATGGAGCTGGCATCGATTTCCCAGCATGGGGAGGGGGGGCTGTAACCGGAAACTCCCCTCTCTGGCCGCTATATTTAGCACCATCGGACATGGGCGGAAGCTCACTCCCCAGCCCAGCCAGCTCTGTCCAACCCCTGGGCTGTCTGGGCAGCAGCAGTGCCCTGGCCAGGCCTCGTGGCTCTTCTACCTTGCACAGCTGGAGGTAGGGCAGCCTGGATCATGGCGGAGGCCTTCCCAGGAGAGATGGGGCAGGTAGCCTGGATCCAAAGTGTAGGAGCCAGGGATTCGCAGTCCTAGAGAGGCCACAGCATCGTTTGAAAACTCTGCAGGCCCACAATTCCCTCTGTTCCATTCTGGGAAGCCACCCTGGGTCCAGCGACCCCTCCCTGCAGAGAAGCCCTGGGGGCCTGGTTGGTGCTGTCTCCCCCCACCATGAGGAAGTGTGGCTTCTCCCACACCTGGCTTCGCGTGGGCACCCCCCGCCTGGGTGGGGCCTGCACAAGGCAGGAGCGAAAGGGCACTTTGGGGGGAGAGGGTTTCTATACCTGGCAGGTGCCACTGTGAGTAGGAAGAGGCTGGCCCTTCCTGCTCACTGGCTGCTCTGGCTGTAGGAACAAAGGTCTTACTCCCTAAGGGCCCAAGGAAGGCAGGAGGGGCTGGAGCAGGGTCTCTGCTCTGCAGGCCAGACCAGTGGACAGGCCCCAGGGAGACTGTGACCCTACCAGAATGAGCCTGTGTTCTGGGCTAGACTCAGCCACACAAGAGCCTCCCTGAAGCAGAGCTAGCCTACTGGGCTCTGCCCTCTTGGCAGCAGGAAGCCAGGAAGATGGACGGGGAGAGGTAGAGAGGGGACTAGATCCTGGGTCCCATTTCATGCCAGAGCTCCCCCTGCTCGGTCTCTGCCCACCCACAGGCCCTGGGCTGGCCACAATCCCCTCTCACCTACATGACAGCATCTCCACCTTGCTCCTCTGCCCCCAGCCCTGCAACCAGGGATGTAGGTGAAAATGTAAGGCTCTGTGTGATCCCGCCCAGCCGCGGTGCGGCCTCCCCTGCCTCGCAGGCTGTGGTCACCGCTGGCCTGGCTTGCCGGCCCTGCCTTTCCCACATAGGCCTCTTCCCCCCTGGCCCCCCCTGCAACCTGGGGACACACTATGGTTAGTCTGCAGTATTGGAGTCACGATCTGTCAATGGACAGAAAGCGGCCTCGCAGGCTGCAGGGCAGCAGCAGGGATGAGCACAGAGCTGCTCTCTCCTGATGACTCCTCCACCACCAGCCAGAGTGCAAGAGGCGGTATCACGCAGAGAGCAACCAGAAGGCTCTGAGCACAGCTCCAGTTCCCTTATTTGGTGGGGGTCTCTGTGTGTGGCCAGGCCTGGTTTGTGTCTGGCCCCCACCTAACCTGTCAGCCCACACGCCCCAGGGGGCTCAGGTGGGGTGTGTGTGCCCGGGTGAGCAGACCGGTGGTAGTGGGCCTGGGGCCTCTGGCTCCCGCTACAAACCCTAGAGGGCCGATGGACGGGGCTGCTAGGCAGGAGGGGCAGGTGAGCCTGGTGTGCTGACCCTCCCGGGCGGAGGGCCTCCTGCCGCTGCTGCCCCAGCGCCTCCAGCGCCTCCACCAGGCTACACTTGTGCTTCCCAAGTTCCTCGCTGTCTGCGGCGGCGGGACAGGGGCTGTGATGGGGGAGGGGTGGCCACGCCGGGGCCAGCTTGAGGCCATCCCACGACCAGGGTGACCACCGGCCCCGGAGAGGGGAGAGGGCCCTGCCGGGAGCCCGGGAGCCCCCGGTACGGCCCGCAGAGGGGTCTGGAGGTCAGGGAGGTGATGGTGGTGGGGACGCGCGGAGCGGCGCGCCTTCGGGGGCGGGGCTCGGCCCTGAGCCGCCCCCGGGCGCGCACGGGGCCTTCAGCGCCAGTTCCTCCCCCAGCGCAGGCCCCCGGCCCGCCTCGCCACGCGCGCGCACCCAGAGCATTAGTCGGCCGGCCGCTCGGGCCCGCGCCTCCGAGGGGAGGGGGCGCCCCCGGCAGCCGGCGCGGAGGTGGCGGGGGTGCGGCCGCGCGGGGGGCCCGGGGCGCGGAGGCGTCGGCCGGGCGGCGCGCGGCCCCCGCCTCGCCGGAGGCCGGGCCGTGCCGGGAGTGCGCGGCCGGCGGCGGCCCCGCGGGGACCCGGGCGCTCCGGCGGGCGGGGGCCGCGGCGACCTCGGCGGGCGCCCGGGAGGCCCCGCCCGGCGGGGCGCCGGTGCAGGCCGAGGCGCGGCGCGGCGCCCCCCGCGCAGGCCGCGCCGCGCCGCCGGGAAGCTCGGGGCGCCCCCGGCACCCCGGCCCCACCCCGCGCGAGGCCCCGCCCCTCATGCATATGCAGGTGCGCGGGTGACGAATGGGCGAGCGAGCTGTCAGTCTCGTCCCGAACTTGTTGGCTGCGGGGCTGGGAACGCGGGCGCGCAGAGCCGAGGCCGGGACCCGCCGCCGCCGCCGCCGCCGCTCCGCCGCCGCCCCGCCGCCGCCGCGGGGGGAGCCGGGAGGGCCGCCGCGGGGAGGGGGAGCCGGGCGGGCCGCCGAGCGCGGCCGCCGCGAGCCGGAGCCGCCGCCGCCGCCGCCCCTGCGCGCCCGCCGCGCCGCCCGCGCGCTGCGCGACCCCGCCCGCGCCGCCGGTGCCGCCGCCGCCTGGGCGCCGGGCTCGGAGCGCGGGCGGGCGCCGGAGGCCGGCGCGGCGGCCGGAGCGGGCGGCGGCGGGGCCGCGGGCGGGGTCGAGGCGGCGATGCGGGGCCGGGGGCGTCTGCCTCGGCGGCTGCTGCTGCTGCTGGCGCTGTGGGTGCAGGTGAGCGGGGCGCGCGGCGGCGGGGCGCGCGGACGGGGCGCACGGGGCGGCCTGGGGCCGGGCCGGCCGGGGCCGCGGGGCGCGGGGCCCGCCGCCCGCCCCCGGCCCGCGCCTCCCGCCTCCTCTGTCGCCCCTCGCAGGCGGCGCGGCCCATGGGCTATTTCGAGCTGCGGCTGAGCGCGCTGCGGAACGCGAACGGAGAGCTGCTGAGCGGCGCCTGCTGTGACGGCGACGGGCGGACGGCGCGCGCGGGGGGCTGCGGCCGCGACGAGTGCGACACGTATGTGCGCGTGTGCCTGAAGGAGTACCAGGCCAAGGTGACGCCCACGGGGCCCTGCAGCTACGGCCACGGCGCCACGCCCGTGCTGGGCGGCAACTCCTTCTACCTGCCGCCGGCGGGCGCTGCGGGGGACCGAGCGCGCGCGCGGCCGCGGGCCGGCGGCCCCCGGGACCCGGGCCTCGTCGTCATCCCCTTCCAGTTCGCCTGGCCGGTACGTGCGCCCTCCCCCGCCCGGCCCGCCCCCTCGGCGCCGGGGCACCGGCGGGGGGGGGGGGGCGCCGCAGGTGCGAGCCGCGGGCGCCCAGACGGGGCGGGGCCGGTAGGGGGCGCCGCGCGCGGGGTGGGCGCGGGGTCTCGCCCGGCCACGTGGGCGCGCGGGGGCGGGCGCGGGGTCGCGGCCCGCGGCGTGTGCCCGCGTCGCCCCGCGCGTGTCTGTCTGGGTGGGGAGGCGCGAGGCGCCTGGGGCCGCGGAGGCCTGCGCGCCGCGCGTGCTGGGGCTGGTCCCGGGCAGGCCCCGGCGGAGCGGCCGGGCCCACAGCCAGCCTGCGCCCGCCCTGCAGTTTCCTGGATGCCCCGGGGGCACGGACAGGGCTCGGCCCTCGGCCGGCAGGGCCTAAGCTGTGTGTGTTGGCAGAAGAGTCTGCGGCCCGGAGCCCCTCGGTGGCCCTTTGTGGCACCGCTGCCTGTGGGTGTGTTGATGTGCTCGTTACTTTCTGAAGGGCGGGAATCCGCGCAGGGGATGTCCTGCCTCCTTCGGCGGTGAAGCTGGGGCCTGTGCAGGGCCAGCTGGCTAGGAGTCGGCCGTGGTGGGACCCAGCAGCGGGCAGAGACAGAGCCCAGGGCTGCCGCTGCCTGGATCCCGAGCTGGAGAGGGCCGTGGACAGGGAGCCTTCTAGTGCTTTGTCCCCTTTCTGGTTCTGGGCTCAAAAGATCCTGACCTGCTTGGTCGCCATCAGTGGGCCTGGAAATGGGTGGGGGTAGGAATGACAGCTACCCTGGAAGGGGTTCCTGGGGTGGAACTCGGGTCAGGTGAGCCTGGAGGAGGCCTGTGTGCAGCCTGGACCTGGGGACTTTCCTGGATGCAGACCCTGCTGCCCCAGTGGCCAGGAGCTACGGGAGTTCATCCACCTAGTGACCTGGTCCTGAAACAGATGGTTCAGAGCCAGGCCTGGCCAAAGCTGGGCCAGCAGCCGCTCCCCTGCCCAGGCTCTAAGCACCAGGTTGTTGCCTGGCCCCTCTGCTTTGTCTTCACCCCTTCTTGGATTCCCCCCCCCCAGCCCTGCACCTCCATAAAGGTACTGCCACAGTCCTCCAGCTCTCCCCTCCCCTCCCCTGTGTCGGCTGGATTCCCAGGCTGGCCGAAGTAGGTCCCCAAATTGGAGAAGGTAGGAGCAGGCCTGGGAGGAGCCCAGGCAGTTAGGGTAAGCCCCACCCCCACGCCCCCACAGGCACCGCAGGCAGGTCTGAGCAGGGCCTGCAGCCTGTCATCTGCACTTGGGCCCAAGCCAGCGAGGCTCCAAATCGCTACCTGAGGATGTGTTTTCTGCTCGAATTGGCAGCAGTGGTGTGGGGGCAGGGAGGCCCTGGAGGAATGGGGCGGGCCAGCGCGTGTCCCGTGTGGCTCTTTGCCCCTGTGGCTGGCCGGCTGGGATGGGATGGGATGGGATGGCTCTTGCTGTCCTTGGCGCCTGGCTCAGGTCTTAGGGCCATCTCTCTTTCTGCTCCCAGCTATTTCCTTCAGATGTCCCAGCAGGGGACAGGATCTGGGTGGAGGGCCAGACCCTAAGGGTGTTGGCGTGTTCAGAGGGCAGTTCTGGCGTCCTTGTCCCTCTTGGGGCACACTGTGGCTGCCAGGTGTGGAGCCTCCTGGGTGGGTGCAGTCCTGCGGCCGCGCTGCGTGGCTTGCGGCAAGTGCAGCTCTGCCCGTGAGCTGCGGTGCGTCAGATCTGGGTGTTACTGGTGCACTTGGCTCCCGCTGGAGACAGTAGATGGTGTTGGGGCCTAGACAGAGGCTTCAGTGGGCAGGTAGAGTGGACTCTGTCCAGCACAGCCTGGGACTGTCTGGCTCCCTGGGGCAGCTTAGGAGAGTTCCCTGTAGAAGGACGACATGTAGGAGGCCAGGCTCCACATACACTCTCCTTGCTATCCACGGCCTGTGGCTCTGTGTCTGTCTCAGGCTCTGCCGTCTTGTGTGGGTGAGCCATGGGGTTGCTGAGTTTGTGGGGGTGGCCCCAGTGAGGGGGCTGCCGCTTTCTCCAGAGCACACTCCAGATGGCTCTCAGGAGGCAGTGTCCTCCTGGGTTGGCAGGGTGGAAGCCATGTTGGTTCTATGTGAGCACTCTGTGGGTGTGGCAGGTGGCTGATGGACCGTTCAGAGGAGAGAGAGAGTGAGAGCGAGCGAGCGAGCTTTCCTTTGGCAAGCACAGAGGGTCAGCTATGTCTGTATAGCAGGAAGGTGGTTAGCCCAGCTTCAGAGCCCAGGAGTTCCACCCAGGGCAAGGCTCTGCTCCCTGGCCTCCTTCCTTGGAGCTAGACCACACTGTAGGTGCAAAGGGTTAGTTGTATGCTGGAATGGCTGGGTCTGGACCCTGTGGAAACACTGAGGTGGGCCTGGGGCTGGGTTGGTTCTGATGGCTCCGGCATGCTGGAACAGGGCCTTCAGCAATGCTGGTTGGTTCTCTTCCCCCAAGACAGGTCCCAGTGCCCTGATGTTGAGGCCTCCTGAGGTTAGCTGTGGGGACCGCAGTTCAGGCCCATCCTAGAGTCCTCCCTAGATTGTCTAATCCTCCTCCCTCCAGCCATCCAGCATGAGGCCAAGGTCTCTGAGAGGTAAATGGGCAGAAGAGTGTAGGTGCTGTGGTGGGCCAGCGGTGTAAGCACAGGGACGGGCTGGTGAGAGTGGATGAGGGCCTGGCCCTGAGCCCTGCGTGCCCCACCCACCACAGGCCTCTGCTCTGTGTGCTGAAGGGCCCTGTCCCACTCTCCCTGCACTCCTTGGTAGAGCAGGGGTCCTGCCTGGTGTGGGCTCCACCAGGCTGTTTCAGCCTGGTAGGTTGAGGGTCTTGCGCAAGGCTGTGGTGTGGGTCAGGGTGGGGCTCTGTCAGTGACCAGGCAGATAGAGGGCGTGCTGTCAGGGAGAGCTGACCAGCAGCAGAGGAGCTCGAAATGGATGTCTTGGCTTTGAGATCGTGGGGGTGCTCTGGGTTGGTGTGAGCGCTCTGGGTTGGTGTGGGTGCTCTGAACTGGTAGTGTGCATCTGGGTTTAGTGTAGGTGCTCTGGGTTGGTGTGAATGCTCTGGTTGGTGTGGGTGCTCTGGGTGGTTGGTGATGTACATCTGGGGCTGGTTGGGAAGGTATTGTCACTTGCTGGAATCCTCTCAGGTGGCTCTAAGGTATCTAGGTGGGGTGCCCTGGGGAAGCCTGGCAGGGCCTGAGCTAGAAGCTGTGCTGTAGGCAGGGTCTCTACTCCAGAGGATCTCTGCGCTCCATCCTGAGCGAGCTGGTCTCTGTCACCATGTTCCATCCTGAGCTAATGTCTGTCCCTGTCCTGAGCTGGTGTCTGTCCCCATCCTGAGCTAACGTCTGTCCCCATCCTGAGCTGGTGTCTGTCCCCATCCTGAGCTGGTGTCTGTCCCCGTCCTGAGCTGGTGTCTGTCCCCGTCCTGAGCTGGTGTCTGTCCCCATCCTGAGCTAATGTCTGTCCCCATCCTGAGCTGATGTCTGTCCCCATCCTGAGCTGGTGTCTGTCCCTATCCTGAGCTAACGTCTGTCCCCATCCTGAGCTGGTGTCTGTTCCCATCCTGAGCTAACGTCTGTCCCCATCCTGAGCTGGTGTCTGTCCCCATCCTGAGCTGATGTCTGTCCCCATCCTGAGCTGGTCTCTGTCACCATCCTGAGCAGGTCCCTGTCACCATCCTGAGCAGGTCCCTGTCACCATGTTCCATCCTGAGCTGGTCCCTGTCACCATCCTGAACTGGTCCCTGTCACTATCCTGAGCTGGTCCCTGTCCCCATCCTGAGCTGGTCCCTGTCACCATCCTGAGCTGGTCCCTGTCACCATCCTGAGCAGGTCCCTGTCACCATCCTGAGCTGGTCCCTGTCACCATCTTGAGCTGGTCCCTGTCACCATCCTGAGCTGGTCCCTATCCCCATCCTGAGCTGGTCCCTGTCCCCATCCTGAGCTGGTGCCTATCCCCATCCTGAGCTGGTCCCTGTCCCCATCCTGAGCTGGTGCCTGTCCCCATCCTGAGCTGGTCCCTGTCCCCATCCTGAGCTGTTCCCTGTCCCCATCTTGAGCTGGTGCCTGTCCCCATCCTGAGCTGTTCCCTGTCCCCATCCTGAGCTGGTCCCTGTCCCCATCCTGAGCTGGTCCCTGTCCCCATCCTGAGCTGGTCCCTGTCCCCATCCTGAGCTGGTGCCTGTCCCCATCCTGAGCTGGTCCCTGTCCCCATCCTGAGCTGGTCCCTGTCACCATCCTGAGCTGGTCCCTGTCACCATCCTGAGCAGGTCCCTGTCACCATCCTGAGCTGGTCCCTGTCACCATCTTGAGCTGGTCCCTGTCACCATCCTGAGCTGGTCCCTATCCCCATCCTGAGCTGGTCCCTGTCCCCATCCTGAGCTGGTGCCTATCCCCATCCTGAGCTGGTCCCTGTCCCCATCCTGAGCTGGTGCCTGTCCCCATCCTGAGCTGGTCCCTGTCCCCATCCTGAGCTGTTCCCTGTCCCCATCTTGAGCTGGTGCCTGTCCCCATCCTGAGCTGTTCCCTGTCACCATCCTGAGCTGGTCCCTGTCCCCATCCTGAGCTGGTCCCTGTCACCATCCTGAGCTGGTCCGTCTCCATCCTGAGCAAGTCCCTGTGCCCCTCTTGAATTGTCCCCTGTCCCCTCATCCCATCCTGAGCTAAGCGTGAGCAGCTGCTGAGCCAGCTGCAATCCCAGGTGAACATGAAGAGATGGGGACCCCGTTTTCAGTCACTACCCGGGGTCCCCATGAGTAAGGCACCTGGGCAAGGCCCTGCCTTCTCTGGTGTGGAGCATGGACATCTGGGCTCATTCATGGGTCATGGGTGGGCCTGCCGTCTGCTTGTGCTGTGGCCCTGTCCCCAGGGGCGGGGGACGTCCCTTGGGTGACAATGGGTTGCATAGACCTGGCCTCTCCAAAGCTCAGGTTTCATGAAATGTATCTCTGCTAGGGCTTATGGTGCTGGTTCTAAGAGCTGCTGTTCTGTGGGATGCTGAAGGAGCCGGGTGGACCTGGGCTCTCGGCTCTGGAGGCCTAGTCCACAGGGAGCCTGAGCTTCGGCTGCCTTGGATTGTGGGGTGTCCTGGGCAGTGAGGTGCTGGGGCCGGAGTGCCGTGCACCTGTTCTCATGCCTACTTTTTCCATGCTTTTGGGCTCCTGCCCTGCCAGGCACGTTGGGGGACTTGGAGCCAGTCAGAAGATGATGAGATGAACTTAGGCTGGGGGGTGTCCTTGGGGCCGCTCAGGCTACGCTTATGGGAGGAGCACAGCAGGACGTGGAGCAGAGCCCTCTTGCTGGAGAGGCCTCTGGAGGTTGGGACACAGGTGGCCAGCCAGGCTGGTCTGGAGGGAAGTACCTGGTTCTACTGTGGCAGAGGAAACTGCTCTCTAATCTGCCCCTTATCCCCGTCCTCTGGTCCCACAGCCCATGTGTCCCCACAGAACTCCAGCCCAGAGCAGGGTCCCTTCCGTGAGGTAGGATTAGAAGTGATGAGCCCCGCCCAGCCACGGCTCCGGGCCAGGTGACCACTGCCCTTTGCTTTGCCATGAAGGGCGCATCCTGGGAGGCTGGCGGGCGGCCTGGGGCTGTGGTGGCAGGTGGGGCCGCTCAGCCAGCCTGCCGGCTCAGGTTCTCCAGCTTCCTGCCGTCCAGGTGTAGGGAGCCCAGCTGGCGGGCGGCAGGCAGGAGTATGTCCCTATGGGAGCTGGTAACCGGAGCCCTAGGCTCGGGCTGAGGGGGAGGTAACTCTACCTGTGCGGCGGGCGTGGGTTTCCTGGGAGCGGGGAGAGGCTTCTGCCCACCTGCAGCCCAGGTGGGTTCTGCTCGTGGGAAGCCCAGGCCTGGGCTTTGCCTCCGGTGCCGGGCCTGCAGCTGGCTCTGCCTTCACACGCCTGGCTCTCGGCTGGCTCCCTGTGCCCATCTACAGCCAGACTGTGGTCAGTCCCTGGTGGCTACCCCTTTTGCCGGGCATCAGCGATGCCAAGGAGCCGGCTGCTCTCCCGGCCCGTGCTTCCTTGCGGGGTTCCCTCACGCCCTGCAGTCACCCCGTGCAACTCCTGCGCCTCCCTGGTTTGCGCCCTGCTTTCTGTGAGCCCAGCTCACGGGGTCAGGGTCGTGGTGTCTGGCCCAGGCGCCATGCAGGAGTAGGTGGGTGGTGGCGCTGGAAGGGAAGGAGCAAAGTGAGGCCGGGAAGGGCTCTGGTGCCCGCTGTCGCTAGCGAAAGGCCAAGGGCGGCAGGCATCCAGACGCCCTCCCGGAGCCCCTGCCACGGGGCCTGCCTGGACACCTTGCACAGTCTGGGGGGCCCAGGGGAAGAGCAGCGGCTGGTGGTCCAGAGAGGGCTGTGACCAGGATGGACAAGGAGCAAGCCAGACTTCGGAGCTGGGGTTGTGGTGGCCCATGGAGCCAGGGCGGCTTCCTGCACCCAGCCTGGCTGCTGGTGGTGTGGGTCCGGGTAGAGGTGGAAACTCAGTCCTGGGCTGGGTGGGCCTGGAGGACGAGGGAGGAGGCAGGCCTGGGGTTGAGAGGAGGCTTGCCCGCCAGGGCCTCCGCTTCTTGTCAGGGGAGGGCTTACCCTAGTGCAGCCAGGCCTCCGGCTTCAGGCCCTGGTTGCCTGAGGGTTACCACGGGGCTCACTGGGGGGCTGCGGCGGCAGCTGGTGGCAGCACCCTTTGGCCAGGGACAGAAGGACCAGATGGCCGGGGCTGTAGCAACCAAGGACTAGGGTTGTGCTAGCAAGGCCCAGGGCCTCTTGGGCCTCAGTTTCCCCATCTGTATAGCGAGGGCTCCCCCTTCCCCCCCCCGTTTGGGGCTGGACACGTCTGTGGGTCTTGCCTGTTTGCTGTGTACCTACTGTGTGGGTCCTGACCACAGGCCCTGTGTACTTTGTGGATGCCCCATATACCTGGCAGAGGGGCGGCCAGGGTGGCCGCTGGCATTGTCCCTCTCCAGTGGGCGTGTAGCTGAGCTGCTGGTTTCCAGGCTCTGAGGTGCCGGGATTTTCCTGCTGGAAGGGAAGTGCCCTTCTCCCAGCTCTGGCCCCAGCATCCTGCCAGGCTCTGGGGAAGCCTTCACAGCCTGGTCCAGTTCTCTCTCTCTGAGTGGGGTGGGACAGGCTGGGCAGGAGGGTCCCAAGGGCCAGGAGGTAGAGCCCTCAGCCTTGTGGGCAGGAGGGTCTTTTTTACTTGAGCCGGCATCTGGAGTCTGTGGAGGGGACACGGTGGGTAACGTGAACCTCGGGATGGGGGCAGGCAGGTGGCCTCGGGTACCTGACCACCCTCCCATGTCCACAGCGCTCCTTCACGCTCATCGTAGAGGCCTGGGACTGGGACAACGACACCACTCCAGACGGTGAGTGAACCCACCGGGCAGCCGGGGAGCTGGCTGCCGCAGGCCCGGCCTCTGCCCTGCCACCGCCGGGCTTGCTTCTCTGTCTGCAGAGGTCAGAGGCTCAGGCTCCAGGACTGCTTCCTCTACCTGGAGGGTCTTGTGGGAGGTTTGCCCTTTTTATCCCGCCTCCAGGAAGCTTGGCCATGTTGCACACCTTCCTGCTCTTGGCTTCAGTGTTGCTCTCCTGTGGGGCCCACGTTGGTTATGTGGAGGAGCAAGACACCCTCCAGTGGCCCATTTCTGCCTAAGCAAGGCCTCAGGAGGGGTCTGGAAGCCTGGTGTGAAGCCTGCTAGCAGAGGCCCAGCGGACTGGTCACCCCCGGCCTGTGCTAATGCGGAGGGGAGAAGTGGGGTTCCTGAGTCTCCTGTGGAGGTCTGGGGAGAGATGGCCCAGAGCCAGGGCTACCTTGGCCTGCGGCACCTGTCCCACCGCTCCTTGAGGGCCAGCTAGGCCCATGGGGGCTGAAGACCAAGGAAGGCTCTTTTAAGATGGAGCAGTAAGTTAGACATAGTGTCCGTGTCTGTAATCCCAGCTACATGGAGATGAGGATAGAAAGACCACGGGCCAAGGCCAGACTGGGCAAAAATAGGAGACCTTATTTGAAAAGTAACACACAAAAAAGGCTGGAGCTGTGGCTCAAGTGGTAGAGTGCCTCGCTAGCACCTTCAAAGCATTGAGTTCAAACCCCAGTTTTAAAAACATGAGGCTGGGAATGTGGCTTTGTGCTAGAGTGCTTGCCTAGTATGTATGAAGCCCTGGGTTTGATTCCTCAGTACCACATACACAGAAAAGGCTGGAAGCAGTGTGGTGGCTCTAGTGGTAGAGTGCTAGCTTGAGCAAAAACAAAACAAAAGCTCAGGGACAGTGTTTAGGCCCTGAGTTCAAACACCAGGACTGGCAAAAAAAAAAGAGAAAAAAGATGGGGTCAGTAGAGTGTGCCTGGAGCTGCCAGGTAGCTCTGGCTGTGCAGGTGGAGGGCTGAGTGCTGCCCCCCTGTGGGCTGGACATCGCGCCTTGCAGGGGTGCTAGCCAGCATGGGCACCGCCTGCTGGGGCCTGGGGTTTGTGCCCTGGCGTAGCCATGGTCTCCCCAGGGAAGCCTGTGGTCCAGCCTTTTCTCCTTACAGGCCCCAGCCTCCTGTGCCATCCACCTTGTGGGTATGGGCTGGAGCAAGAATGTTGCTCAGGGTGGCTGGGCAGGGCGGGGCAGGGCTCTGTGCAGCTCTGGGCCTGCGTGTCCAGTGTGCTCTGGCTAGTATTGGGATCTTGCACCCTCCCAGCCACTGCAGGTTAGAGCTAGGTTGTTCCCTGTCCCTCCACGGGCGGGCCAGGTTGGTTTCTTGGGCCTGTAGCGGTGGTGATGTAGCTGGCTGTCTCTGCTGCCCCTAAAGAGGACCTGCTGATCGAGCGTGTGTCCCATGCCGGCATGATCAACCCGGAGGACCGCTGGAAGAGCCTGCACTTCAGTGGCCACGTGGCTCACCTGGAGCTGCAGATCCGGGTGCGCTGTGACGAGAACTACTACAGTGCCACCTGCAACAAGTTCTGCAGGCCCCGCAATGACTTCTTCGGCCACTACACCTGTGACCAGTACGGCAACAAGGCCTGCATGGACGGCTGGATGGGCAAGGAGTGCAAGGAAGGTGTGTGGGGTAGAGCCTAGGTGGGCGGGGCCCGGAGAGGGAGGGGCCTGGGGCGGAGCTGGGCTGGGCCTAGCCCAGCTGCTGAGCTGGCTGCATCTGGTTCTCCACCCCTCTGTTCACAGCCGTGTGTAAACAAGGATGTAATTTGCTCCATGGGGGATGCTCCGTGCCTGGGGAGTGCAGGTGAGCACCTCCGCGCCTGCCCCTTCTTTGCCCTTGCGTGGGTTCAGCAAACAGTTGCTGGTGTGCTGTGGCACCTGCCCCGCACCACGGGTGGGGTGGGAGGGGAGATGGGCGTGGTGCGGGGGAGGAAGGCCGCAGGGTCAGGCGGAGGATGTGGGGGACCTTGCTGTTCTGGGTGTGGTGGGTGGAGGCCAGTAGCTTCACAGGGACTGCCCACCTCCAAGGGCCAGGCGCCTGGGCGCAGGGTTCCCTGGAGAGTTGTGCTGAGTGGGGGGCTCAGAGGGTGGTTGTAAGGATTGGGGTACTGTAGAGATGTGGGACACAAGTCAGTTTTGGGGGTGACAGCAGAACTCACAGATATCCTTCTTGGGGGCCAGGGTTTGTGAAGAGGTTTGATACGGGACTGAGAGGAAGCGTGTGGGGTCCAGAGAGATCCTAAGCCGCTGAGCAGGGGAGCAGCGGAGGGAGGTGGGTATGGGAGGGGCAGGGCAGGTGGGGAAGGAGGGCTGGACAGGAGGGGAGGTATCTGGGAGAGGCCGAGGCCTGCAGTGTGCAGGGGAGCGGAAGGGGGAGGCTGAGAGGAGAGCCCTGGCCCCGTCAGGTGGGAGTGTGTGGACTCTGCACCCAGGACTTGGAAGGAGGCCCCTAGGCCCTCCCAGAGCAGGTGGGGTGGAGCAGGGCCCGGCGCTCCTGGGAGACTTGGGGCCCGGCGGTCCCCGTCCCGCAGCGGCATGGAAGGGCTGGGGTCAGCTGGCAGGAGAGGGGGAGGCAGCCGGTGCTCTGTGCTTCATCTCCCAACCCCGCATCATTCCGCCGCCCCTCCCCTCCCCCTCCCCCTCCCCCCCAGGGCTGGAGTGCCCCTCATTTTCTTCACATGGTGCTGAGGCACAGATGTTAGGTAATTTCCCTAAGGCTGAACGGAGAGGGGGCAGGCAGCCCCAGGCTGGGGTGGGCAGAGGGGTGGGGTTGAGGGGAGGTGGACAGGGGGGTGGGGAGGGGGGCTGGGGTGTTGGAGGGGGGGCGGGTGAGGGGGTGCTGGGGTGTTGGAGGGGAGGTAGGTGGGGGGACTGGGGTGTTGGAGGAGGGTGGGTGAGGTGGGGCTGGGGTGTTGGAGGGGGGTGGACGAGGTGGGAGGGCTGGGATGTTGGAGGGGGGTTGGGCGAGGTGTGGGGGCTGGGGTGTTGGAGGGGGGTGGGAGAGGTGGGGGGGCTGGGGTGTTGGAGGGGGGTGGGTGAGGTGGGGGGCTGGGATGTTGGAGGGGGGTGGGCGAGGTAGGGGGGCTGGGGTGATGGAGGGGGTTGGGCGAGGTGGGGGGCTGGGATGTTGGAGGGGGGCTGGGCCAGGTGGGGTGCTGGGGTGTTGGAGGGGGCTGGGCGAGGTGGGGGGCTGGGGTGTTGGACGGGGGTGGGGGAGGTGGGGGGCTGGGATGTTGGAGGGGGTAGGTGAGGTGGGGGGGCTGGGGTGTTGGAGGGGGGTGGGGGAGGTGGGGGGCTGGGATGTTGGAGGGGGTAGGTGAGGTGGGGGTGCTGGGGTGTTGGAGGGGGTAGGTGAGGTGGGGGGCTAGGATGTTGGAGGGGGTAGGTGAGGTGGGGGGGCTGGGGTGTTGGAGGGGGGTGGGGGAGGTGGGGGGCTGGGATGTTGGAGGGGGTAGGTGAGGTGGGGGGGCTGGGGTGTTGGAGGGGGGTGGGGGAGGTGGGGGGCTGGGGTGATGGAGGGTTGGTGGGTGAGGTGGCAGTCTGCGGTGTTGGAGGGGGTGGGTGAGGTGGGGGGGCTGGGGTGTTGGAGGGGGGCTGGGGTGTTGGAGGGGTGTGGGTGAGGTGGGGGGGCTGGGGTGTTGGAGGGGGCCTAGGGTGTTGGGGGGGTGGGCGAGGTGGGAGGTCTGGGATGTTGGAGGGTGGTGGGCGAGGTGGGGGGGCTGGGGTGTTGGAGGGGGTGGGCGGGGGGTGGGTGTGTGGAGATGGGTTGATCTGGTGGGAGGTAGTGGGAGCAGCCTCCTGCCGGGCCTGGCCCCAGGGTGGGAGGCAGGCCCCGGGCCCCTTCACCAGTGGCTCCCATATGCTGGAGCTTCAGACAAGACAAGCGGATGGGGTGGGGGGTTGGGAGGGATGACCTTAAGGGGCCACACCTGGTGCTAGGTCCGGGGCAGGAGGCGAGTGTAAGGCTAGAAATCCCAGCCCTGTCCTGGTGCGGAGGCAGACGCAGAGCTGGTGAGCCCAGCAGACACCCTCCTGCCCTTGGTGTAGGGCACTACTCGATGGCGGGCCTGTGGTCAGTGCTGGGCCGCACAGAGGGCCCCCACTGCGGCGGGAGAGTGGCACCCCTCCCACGGTGCAGGAAGGCTGTGGCTGCACCGGAAGATGAGGGGCGGCTGAGGGGCGGAATTCAGGGATGGGGCCTGGAGCAGTAGGTGAGCCCAGCTACCTCCTCCTGGCCCTGTGGGTGAGGCCGGGCCCGGGCTCGGGTTTCAGCGGGGACATCCCCCTCCCCGGCCGGATGCTGAGGAGATGGCTATGCCTTCCTGCTGCCCCTCCCCACACCCGGGACTGCTGGCAGGAAAGTGGGAAGTGGGGTCTGGTGTGGTGTGCCCCGCCCAGAGCTGATTCCATTCCTTAGGACCCAGGAGATCTGGGGTCCCCGTAAGCCCATGCCACTCCCTGGGGGTGACCCAGGGCCTGCGTGTCACCTGCCTCCTCTTGTGTCCCCTGTGGCCTGGGGGGAGGATCTGTGGTGCAGACCTCAGGCCCACTGTGGACCTGCCCTGAGCACAGCGGGCTGGATCCACAGCCACCTGCTCCCAGCCTCAGTTTCCCAGTTCCCAGCCTGGGTGAGCTGGGCTGCTAACCTTGGCTCTGTGTGACTCCAGGCGGCTCAGGAAGGGCTGTGGTTCTTTTCTAAAAATAACTGGTCGGGTGCCGGTGTGGAAGCGCTGTGGCCTGGACGTCATTCCTGCCCAGTAGTGCCTGGGCGTCCTGGGCATCCTGGGCCAGGTCCTCAGAGACCTGTCTGGGACTGGAGGGCAGCCTGCCAGGCCCAGGACCCCAGGCTGCTACCAGCTGGCTCTGCACGGCGAGCCTGCTCACCCCTGGCAGCACCCGCAGAGGGGATGCAGAGGCCCCAGTGCCACCCCCAGGGCAGCCCCCATGCCTCTGCTGCCGGGAGCTGCCCCAGTGCGGGCCGTCTGTCAGACGGCCAGACAGCGGCCTGTCTGTGAGGTGTGCCCCACGTAGGCTTGCCGAGAGTTGGGTCCTTGGGCAGCAGCAAGGTCACACCGAGCCCCCAAGGTCACACAGCCAGGATGGCCAGAGCTTCTCCCCAGGTCTTCCCGGTCGCCCCCGTGGGTGCTGGCAGCACCTGGGGAGCAGGAGCTGGCGCTCCTGGGCCACGCTCCCCGGGCGTGGCTGGGTCTGCCTCTCCCGGCGCCTGCTTTTGGGGCCTGGCTCAGGATGAGTCCTAGAATAGCTCAGGGAGGAGTGACAGGGCAGCTGGGGCTGACTGTCAGAGCCCGCAGCCCGGAATGCCTGGGACTGGGGGCTGGCCGACGGGCCGTAACCTCTGCCTGGCTCGGAGCTGCTCTGGTTCAAAGTCCCGAGCCGGTTGGCTCTGTGTGTGTGGGGGCACTTCTGCACCTGCCGCCCCGCTCACAGTCTTGCCTCTGCGGCCCCCAGGTGCAGCTACGGCTGGCAGGGCAAGTTCTGTGATGAGTGTGTCCCGTACCCAGGCTGCCTGCACGGCAGCTGTGTGGAGCCCTGGCACTGTGACTGTGAGACCAACTGGGGTGGCCTGCTCTGTGACAAAGGTAGCCGGTGGGCAGGGGGTGGCGGGTGGGCAGTGGGCAGTGGGTGGGGGGGTGGCGGGTGGGCAGTGGGTGGTGGGCAGTGGGTGGGGGGTGGCGGGTGGGCAGTGGGTGGGGGTGGCGGGTGGGCGGTGGGCAGTGGGTGGTAGCCGGTGGGCAGGGGGTGGCGGGTGGGCAGTGGGCAGTGGGCGGGGGGTGGCGAGTGGGCAGTGGGCAGTGGGCGGGGGGTGGCGGGTGGGCAGTGGGCGGGGGTTGGCGGGTGGGCAGTGGGCGGTGGGCAGTGGGTGGTAGCCGGTGGGCGGGGGGTGGCGGGTGGGCAGTGGGTGGTAGGCAGTGGGTGGTAGCCGGTGGGCAGTGGGCGGGGGATGGCGGGTGGGCGGTGGGCAGTGGGTGGTAGCCGGTGGGCGGTGGGTGGTGGGTGGTGGGCAGTGGATGGTAGCCGGTGGGCAGTGGGTGGTGGGTTGTGGGCAGTGGATGGTAGCCGGTGGGCGGTGGGCAGTGGGCGGTGGGCAGTGGGCGGGGGATGGCGGGTGGGCGGTGGGCAGTGGGTGGTAGCCGGTGGGCGGTGGGTGGTGGGTGGTGGGCAGTGGATGGTAGCCGGTGGGCAGTGGGTGGTGGGTTGTGGGCAGTGGATGGTAGCCGGTGGGCGGTGGGCAGTGGGTGGTGGGCGGTGAGCGGTGGGCAGTGGGTGGTGGGCAGTGGATGGTGGGTGGTGGGCAGTGGGTGGTAGCTGGTGGGCGGTGGGCAGTGGACAAGGACACCCTCAAGCTCCGAAGCCTGTTCTCTGAGAGCCCTGCTCCTCTCCCCAGACCTGAACTACTGTGGCAGCCACCACCCCTGTGTCAATGGGGGGACCTGCATCAACGCAGAGCCCGACCAGTACCACTGCGCCTGCCCAGATGGCTACTCCGGCAAGAACTGCGAGCGAGGTGAGAGGCTGGGCAGTGAGCCTGGCTGGGCATGGGGCGGTGCTGGGACTGACCACCACCGTCCGCTGCCCGTGGCCATCTCTCTGGCTGCCTTGTACAGTGGCCTGTGGTCTGGCCTTGGGCCTGGTGGGCGTGGGGTTGGAGCCCTTGGGGAACGGGGAGCCGGGGGGCTGCCCAGGTACCCCACAAACTACTACTCGGGTTCTGCAGCGGAGCACGCCTGTGCCTCTAACCCGTGTGCCAACGGGGGCTCTTGTCACGAGGCGCCGTCCGGCTTCGAGTGCCACTGCCCGCCAGGCTGGAGCGGGCCCACCTGCGCGCTTGGTGAGTCACGGTGGCTCCAGCCCGCGTCCGGGGCTTTGTGTGATGAGTAGCTCCCTAGAGTCCAGTCCACTTGTGTGGTAGATTCGGATGGCCAGGGGGCAGCTGGTCCTGCCCTACGCTGTGAGTCTCCTAACCCCCACGGGCTGTGCCGACACTCACCGGCCACACCCTCATTCACTGGCCACAGCCCACACCTGGGGGCCACTCCCCACACTTTCCTAGTGGCCTTGACCCACACAGCCCCTAACCTACATAATGGCCCAGTCCCACGCATGCCCGTGCGGGTTCACCAGCTCTGCCTCTGGCCACATCCCATGCTCCTGGGCCACGCGTGCCCGTGGGGGGCATGGGGCTCACTGGCCACGGCCCGTGCCTCTATCCCTGCAGACATCGACGAGTGTGCTTCCAACCCTTGTGCGGCCGGTGGCACCTGCGTGGACCAGGTGGATGGCTTCGAGTGCATCTGCCCTGAGCAGTGGGTAGGCGCCACCTGCCAGCTGGGTAAGGACGTCCCAGAGCCGTGGTGCATGGATGGTGCTGTGCATGCGGCTGGCTCTGCTGGCGGTGCTGGGCTGTGGGTCCAGGCACGGCGGGCGGGTGGGGCCTGGGCCCCATGGTTCCCCTTGTCTTGTCCACAGACGCCAATGAGTGCGAAGGGAAGCCGTGCCTTAATGCTTTGTCTTGCAAAAACCTGATTGGCGGCTATTACTGTGATTGCCTCCCGGGCTGGAAGGGCATCGACTGCCACATCAGTCAGTATGGGTGGGCGCCGCAGGCGGGTGGAGCTGGGGTGGGCTGCGGGCCCCTCTGACTTGCCCCTGGGCCTTTCTCCCCAGACATCAATGACTGTCGTGGGCAGTGTCGGCACGGTGGCACCTGCAAGGTGAGGCTGCGGCCTGCCTGGGCCAGGGGCGGGTGGGCCAGGGGTGGGTGGGCGCAGGGGCGGGTGGGCGGAGGGGCGGGTGGGGGCAGGGGCGGGTGGGCCAGGGGCGGGTGGGCGCAGGGGCTGCAGGAGGCTCACCTGCTCCCTCCACAGGACCTGGTCAATGGCTACCAATGCGTATGTCCCCCCGGCTTTGGAGGCCGGCACTGCGAGCTGGAGCAGGGTGGCTGTGCCAGCAGCCCCTGCCACGGCGGGGGCGTGTGTGAAGACCTGCAGGAGGGCTTCCGCTGCCGCTGTCCCCGGGGTCTCTCTGGACCGCTCTGTGAGGTGAGGCCTGTGGCTCAGCCACCCCTGTCCCAGCCCAGGGACTGAGGAGCCACAGTGGAATGGGCTCCACAGCCCACGGGCTGCAGCATCCTGGGAGCATGGCCGTGCGGAGTCTACAGGGTGGCCAGGGTCTGGCTTCTTCGGGCCTGCTTGTCAGGGTGCCTGGGGCAAGGAGGGTGCCTGGTACTTGAGCCCCTCAGGACCAGTAGGGTCTGTTTTGCACAGGACTGGCCCTCTCGCTCTAGGGCTGACACCCTTGTCCCCCTTAGTACTGCACTGGGTCCCAGTCCCCTCCTTCCACACTTCCCGCCTCCCAGCCCTGTGTGATCCTGCCCTGGCCTCTGTGTGGAGGGTGGACTTCTGCCCAGTCAGCCTCCTGGGGCGGGGCCAGCCCCAGGCTGCACGGTGGTGGTGCTGGCTCTTGGTTGTGCGGGTGTCCCGGCAGGGTGGCAGGTCAGGAGCTGGCTTTCCTGTTGGTGGGAGGAGCCGAGGCCGGATGCTGCCTGTGGGAGGCGTAGGAAGCCCTGCTGCTGTGGAGCGAGGGTGGAGGGGCCTGGGGGCCCACAGGTGCTTCCGTCCTGCCGGCGGGGCCTGGACGATCGCTGGGCGGGGGCCTCAGGCGTGGGTGGCACTGCCTGCCCAGGACCGGGGGCCTGCTGTCCAGGCTGGGCTTCAGGGGTCTGAGGCCACCTGCGCCCAGGCCGGGCCCTGGGGACACATGTGCCTCCTCTCGTCTCGCAGGTCAACGTGGACTTCTGTGAGCCAAGCCCCTGTCTAAATGGTGCTCACTGCTACAGCCTGGAGGGGGACTACTACTGTGCCTGCCCTGAGGACTTCGGTGGCAAGAACTGCTCGTTGCCCAGGGAGCCCTGTCCGGGTGGGGCCTGCAGAGGTGCTGGAGCAGCTGCGGGCGGGAGGGTGGGTGGCGGAGGGAGGGAGAGGAGCCTGACCCCTGCTTCTCTGCCGCAGTGATTGACGGTTGCGGGGTTGAGGTGGGGTCTGGGGTGTCTGGCGTGGCCCCCACCAGCGTGTGTGGCCCCCACGGACACTGTGTCAGCCAGCCTGGGGGAAACTTCTCCTGCGTCTGTGACAGTGGCTTCACGGGCACCTACTGCCATGAGAGTGAGTGCTACACGTGGCAGGCTGGGGACGGGGAGGGCTGGGGAGGGCTGGGGACGGGCTGGAGAGGGCTGGGGAGGGCTGGGGACTGGGGCGGGCTGGAGAGGGCTGGGGAGGGCTGGGGAGGGCTGGGGACGGGGAGGGCTGGGGAGGGCTGGGGACTGGGGCGGGCTGGAGAGGGCTGGGGAGGGCTGGGGACGGGGAGGGCTGGGGAGGGCTGGGGAGGGCTGGGGACGGGGAGGGCTGGGGAGGGCTGGGGACGGGCTGGGGAGGGCTGGGGAGGGCTGGGGACTGGGGCGGGCTGGACAGGGCTGGGGAGGGCTGGGGAGGGCTGGAGAGGACTGGGGAGGGCTGGGGAGGGCTGGGGACTGGGCTGGGGACTGGGGCGGGCTGGGGATGGGGAGGGCTGGGGAGGGCTGGGGACTGGGGCGGGCTGGAGAGGGCTGGGGAGGGCTGGGGAGGGCTGGGGACGGGGAGGGCTGGGGACTGGGGTGGGCTGGGGAGGGCTGGGGAGGGCTGGGGAGGGCTGGGGACTGGGGCGGGCTGGAGTGGGCTGGGGAGGGCTGGGGACTGGGGCGGGCTGGGGAGGGCTGGAGAGGGCTGGAGAGGGCTGGGGAGGGCTGGGGACTGGGCTGGGGACTGGGGCGGGCTGGGGAGGGCTGGAGAGGGCTGGAGAGGGCTGGGGAGGGCTGGGGACTGGGCTGGGGACTGGGGCGGGCTGGGGACGGGGAGGGCTGGGGAGGGCTGGGGACTGGGCTGGGGACTGGGGCGGGCTGGGGACGGGGAGGGCTGGGGAGGGCTGGGGAGGGCTGGGGAGGGCTGGAGAGGGCTGGGGACGGGGAGGGCTGGGGACGGGGAGGGCTGGGGAGGGCTGGAGAGGGCTGGGGAGGGCTGGGGACGGGGAGGGCTGGGGACTGGGGCGGGCTGGGGAGGGCTGGGGAGGGCTGGAGAGGGCTGGGGAGGGCTGGGGACTAGGGCGGGCTGGAGAGGGCTGGGGAGGGCTGGAGAGGGCTGGGGAGGGCTGGGGCCTGGGGAGGGTTGGGAGGGCTGGGGAGGGCTGGAGAGGGCTGGAGAGGGCTGGGGACGGGGAGGGCTGGGGACTGGGGTGGGCTGGGGAGGGCTGGAGAGGGCTGGGGAGGGCTGGGGAGGGCTGGGGACGGGGAGGGCTGGGGACTGGGGCGGGCTGGGGAGGGCTGGGGAGGGCTGGAGAGGGCTGGGGAGGGCTGGAGAGGGCTGGGGACGGGGAGGGCTGGGGACTGGGGCAGGCTGGAGAGGGCTGGGGAGGGCTGGAGAGGGCTGGGGAGGGCTGGGGACTAGGGCGGGCTGGAGAGGGCTGGGGAGGGCTGGAGAGGGCTGGGGAGGGCTGGGGCCTGGGGAGGGTTGGGAGGGCTGGGGAGGGCTGGGGCCTGGGGAGGTTGGGAAGGGCTGGAGAGGGCTGGGGAGGGCTGGGGCCTGGGGAGGGTTGGGAAGGGCTGGAGAGGGCTGGGGAGGGCTGGGGCCTGGGGAGGGTTGGGGAGGGCTGGGGAGGGCTGGAGAGGGCTGGGGCCTGGGGAGGGCTGGGGCCTGGGGCCTGGGGAGGTCTCACGCAGCCTCTCCTGCAGACATCGATGACTGTCTGGGCCAGCCCTGCCACAATGGGGGCACGTGCATTGACGAGGTGGATTCCTTCCGCTGCTTCTGCCCCAGCGGCTGGGAAGGCGAGCTCTGTGATACCAGTGAGTGCTTGTGCCCTGCCGCTGCGGGTGGCTCAGCCCCACACTGCACCTCTGCCTGGCCTGCATTCCATCCTGCCCTGCTGCTGCCCCGGCTCAGCCCCACGCTCTGGGCCGGCTCAGCCCCACGCTCCGGGCCCGGCTCAGCCCCACACTCCGGGCCCACTCAGCCCCACGCTCCGGGCCCGGCTCAGCCTCACGCTCCGGGCCCGCTCAGCCCCACGCTCCGGGCCCGCTCAGCCCCACGCTCCGGGCCCGGCTCAGCCTCACGCTCCGGGTCCGCTCAGCCTCACGCTCTGGCCCGGCTCAGCCCCACGCTCCGGGCCCGGCTCAGCCCCACGCTCCGGGCCCGCTCAGCCTCACGCTCCGGGCCCGGCTCAGCCTCACGCTCTGGGCCCGCTCAGCCCCACGCTCCGGGCCCGCTCAGCCCCACGCTCTGGGCCCGGCTCAGCCTCACGCTCTGGGCCCGCTCAGCCCCACGCTCCGGGCCCGGTCAGCCCCACGCTCTGGGCCCGGCTCAGCCCCACGCTCTGGGCCCGGCTCAGCCCCACACTGCACCTCTGCCTGGCCTGTGTTCCATCCTGCACGCACCACGGGGCTCTTCCCTACACCTGACGCAGCTCAGTGAGCCCAGGTTCCGGAAGTCTGTAGCCAGTTTGGCTCAACCCCCTTCCCGCCTGGCTCTGATGTGCCATGCCCGCTCCGGCTCTTGCTCTCTTCCCAAAGCCCCCCTGCGCCGGTAAACCCCTGCTGACCGGCATCCTCCCCTCAGATCCCAACGACTGCCTCCCTGACCCCTGCCACAGCCGCGGCCGCTGCTACGACCTGGTCAATGACTTCTACTGCGCCTGCCACGATGGCTGGAAGGGGAAGACCTGCCACTCCCGTGAGTGCCGGGCCTGTGCACAGGGAGGTGGGGGGCCCCGCGGTCCTGCCCGCGGAGCGCCGTGTGTGTGTGTGTGTGTGTGTGTGTGGGTGTGTGGGTGTGTGGGTGTGTGTGTGGGTGGGTGTGTCCCCTGAGCGCCCTGTGTTTGTGTGTGTGTGTGGGTGGGTGTGTCCCCCGCGCTCCCGCCCGCTGAGCGCCCTGTGTGTGTGTGTGTGTGTGTGTGTGTGTGTGGGTGGGTGGGTGGGTGGGTGTGTCCCCCGCTCTCCCGCCCGCTGAGCGCCCTGTGTGTGTGTGTGTGTGTGTGTGTGTGTCTGTGGTGGGTGGGTGGGTGTGTCCCCTGCGCTCCCGCCCGCTGAGCGCCCTGTGTGTGTGTGTGTGTGTGTGTGTGTGCCTGTGGTGGGTGGGTGGGTGGGTCCCCCGCGCTCCCGCCCGCTGAGCGCCCTGTGGGGGGGGGTGGGGGGGGTGGGCGGGTGGGGGGGTGGGGGTGGGTGGGCGGGTGGGGGGTGGGGGGGGGTGGGGGGGGTGGGGGGGGGTTGGGTCCCCTGCGCTCCCGCCCGCTGAGTGCCCTGTGTGTGTGTGTGTGTGTGTGTGTGTCTGTGGTGGGTGGGTGGGTGGGTCCCCCGCGCTCCCGCCCGCTGAGCGCCCTGTGTGGGGGGGGTGGGGGTGGGTGGGCGGGTGGGGGGGGGGTGGGGGGGGTGGGGGGGGTGGGGGGGTGGGTCCCCCGCGCTCCCGCCCGCTGAGCGCCCTGTGTGTGTGTGTATGTGTGTGTGTCTGTGGTGGGTGGGTGGGTGGGTCCCCCGCGCTCCCGCCCGCTGAGCGCCCTGTGTGGGGGGGGGTGGGGGTGGGTGGGCGGGTGGGGGGGGTGGGGGGGGTGGGGGGGGTGGGGGGGTGGGTCCCCCGCGCTCCCGCCCGCTGAGCGCCCTGTGTGTGTGTGTATGTGTGTGTGTCTGTGGTGGGTGGGTGGGTGGGTCCCCGCGCTCCCGCCCGCTGAGCGCCCTGTGTGTGTGTGTGTGTGTGTGTGTGTCTGTGGTGGGTGGGTGGGTGGGTGGGGGGGGTGGGGGTGGGTGGGTGGGGGGTGGGGGGGGGTGGGTCCCCCGCGCTCCCGCCCGCTGAGCGCCCTGTGTGTGTGTGTGTGTGTGTGTGTGTGTGTGTGTCTGTGGTGGGTGGGTCCCCCGCGCTCCCGCCCGCTGAGCGCCCTGTGTGTGTGTGTGTGTGTGTGTGTGTGTGTCTGTGGTGGGTGGGTGGGTGGGGGGGGTGGGGGTGGGTGGGTGGGGGGTGGGGGGGGTGGGTCCCCCGCGCTCCCGCCCGCTGAGCGCCCTGTGTGTGTGTGTGTGTGTGTGTGTGTGTGTGTGTCTGTGGTGGGTGGGTCCCCCGCGCTCCCGCCCGCTGAGCCCCTGTGTGTGTGTGTGTGTGTGTGTGTGTGTGTGTGTGTGTGTGTGTGTCTGTGGTGGGTGGGTGGGTGGGTCCCCGCGCTCCGCCCGCTGAGCGCCCTGTGTGTGTGTGTGTGTGTGTCTGTGGTGGGTGGGTGGGTGGGGGGGGTGGGGGTGGGTGGGCGGGTGGGGGGGGGTGGGAGTGGGTGGGCGGGTGGGGGTGGGGGGTGGGTGGGGGGGGGGTGGGGGGGGTGGGGGGGGGGGTGGGGGGGGTGGGTCCCCCGCGCTCCCGCCCGCTGAGCGCCCTGTGTGTGTGTGTGTGTGTGTGTGTGTCTGTGGTGGGTGGGTGGGTGGGTCCCCGCGCTCCCGCCCGCTGAGCGCCCTGTGTGTGTGTGTGTGTCTGTGGTGGGTGGGTGGGGGGGGTGGGGGTGGGTGGGGGGGGTGGGGGGGTGGGGGGGGGTGGGGGGGGTGGGTCCCCCGCGCTCCCGCCCGCTGAGCGCCCTGTGTGTGTGTGTGTGTGTGTGTGTGTGTGTGTCTGTGGTGGGTGGGTCCCCCGCGCTCCCGCCCGCTGAGCGCCCTGTGTGTGTGTGTGTGTGTGTGTGTGTGTCTGTGGTGGGTGGGTGGGTGGGGGGGGGTGGGGGTGGGTGGGTGGGGGGTGGGGGGGGTGGGTCCCCCGCGCTCCCGCCCGCTGAGCGCCCTGTGTGTGTGTGTGTGTGTGTGTGTGTGTGTGTGTCTGTGGTGGGTGGGTCCCCCGCGCTCCCGCCCGCTGAGCCCCTGTGTGTGTGTGTGTGTGTGTGTGTGTGTGTCTGTGGTGGGTGGGTGGGTGGGTCGCCCGCTGAGCGCCCTGTGTGTGTGTGTGTGTGTGTGTCTGTGGTGGGTGGGTGGGTGGGGGGGGGTGGGGGTGGGTGGGCGGGTGGGGGGGTGGGAGTGGGTGGGCGGGTGGGGGTGGGGGGGTGGGTGGGGGGGGGTGGGTGGGGGGGGTGGGGGGGGGGGTCCCCCGCGCTCCCGCCCGCTGAGCGCCCTGTGTGTGTGTGTGTGTGTGTGTGTGTGTGTCTGTGGTGGGTGGGTGGGTGGGTCCCCGCGCTCCCGCCCGCTGAGCGCCCTGTGTGTGTGTGTGTGTCTGTGGTGGGTGGGTGGGGGGGGTGGGGGTGGGTGGGGGGGGTGGGGGGGTGGGGGGGGTGGGGGGGTGGGGGGGTGGGGGGGGGTGGGGGGGGTGGGGGGGGGTGGGTCCCCCGCGCTCCCGCCCGCTGAGCGCCCTGTGTGTGTGTGGTGTGTGTGTCTGTGGTGGGTGGGTGGGTGGGTCCCCCGCGCTCCCGCCCGCTGAGCCCCTGTGTGTGTGTGTGTGTGTGTGTGTCTGTGGTGGGTGGGTGGATGGGTCCCCGCGCTCCCGCCCACTGAGCCCCTGTGTGTGTGTGTGTGGTGTCTGTGGTGGGTGGGTGGGTGGGGGGGGGGTGGGGGTGGGTGGGCGGGGGGGGTGGTGGGGGGGTGGGGGGGGTGGGGGGGGTGGGGGGGGTGGGTCCCCCGCGCTCCCGCCCGCTGAGCGCCCTGTGTGTGTGTGTGTGTGTGTGTCTGTGGTGGGTGGGTCCCCCGCGCTCCCGCCCGCTGAGCGCCCTGTGTGTGTGTGTGTGTGTGTGTGTGTCTGTGGTGGGTGGGTCCCCCGCGCTCCCGCCCGCTGAGCGCCCTGTGTGTGTGTGTGTGTGTGTGTGTGTGTCTGTGGTGGGTGGGTGGGTGGGTCCCCGCGCTCCCGCCCGCTGAGCGCCCTGTGTGTGTGTGTGTGTCTGTGGGTGGGTGGGTGGGGGGGGTGGGGGGGTGGGTGGGGGGGGTGGGGGGGTGGGGGGGGTGGGGGGGGTGGGGGGGGTGGGTCCCCCGCGCTCCCGCCCGCTGAGCGCCCTGTGTGTGTGTGTGTGTGTGTCTGTGGTGGGTGGGTGGGGTGGGTCCCCCGCGCTCCCGCCCGCTGAGCCCCTGTGGTGTGTGTGTGTGTGTGTGTCTGTGGTGGGTGGGTGGATGGGTCCCCCGCGCTCCCGCCCACTGAGCCCCTGTGTGTGTGTGTGTGTGTGTGTCTGTGGTGGGTGGGTGGGTGGGGGGGGGGTGGGGGGTGGGTGGGCGGGGGTGGGGTGGGGGGGGTGGGGGGGGGTGGGGGGGGGGTGGGGGGGGGGTGGGGGGGGTGGGTCCCCCGCGCTCCCGCCCGCTGAGCGCCCTGTGTGTGTGTGTGTGTGTGTGTGTGTCTGTGGTGGGTGGGTCCCCCCCGCGCTCCCGCCCGCTGAGCGCCCTGTGTGTGTGTGTGTGTGTGTGTGTGTCTGTGGTGGGTGGGTCCCCCCGCGCTCCCGCCCGCTGAGCGCCCTGTGTGTGTGTGTGTGTGTGTGTCTGTGGTGGGGGGGGGGGGGTGGGGGGGGGGTGGGGGTGGGTGGGGGGGGGTGGGGGGTGGGTGGGTGGGGGGGGGGTGGGGGGGGGTCCCCCGCGCTCCCGCCCGCTGAGCGCCCTGTGTGTGTGTGTGTGTGTCTGTGGTGGGTGGGTGGGTGGGGGGGGGTGGGGGGGGGGTGGGGTGGGGGGGGTGGGGGGGGTGGGTGGGGGGGGGTGGGGGGGGGGGTGGGTGGGGGGGGGTCCCCCGCGCTCCCGCCCGCTGAGCCCCTGTGTGTGTGTGTGTGTGTGTGTGTCTGTGGGGGGTGGGTCCCCCGCGCTCCCCGCCCGCTGAGCGCCCTGTGTGTGTGTGTGTGTGTGTGTGTGTGTGTGTGTGTCTGTGGGGGGTGGGTCCCCCCGCGCTCCCGCCCGCTGAGCGCCCTGTGTGTGTGTGTGTGTGTGTGTGTGTGTGTGTGTGTGTCTGTGGGGGGTGGTTCCCCCGCGCTCCCGCCCGCTGAGCGCCCTGTGTGTGTGTGTGTGTGTGTGTGTGTGTGTGTCTGTGGGGGGTGGGGTCCCCCGCGCTCCCCGCCCGCTGAGCGCCCTGTGTGTGTGTGTGTGTGTGTGTGTGTGTGTGTCTGTGGTGGGTGGGTGGGGGGGTGGGGGGGGGTGGGCGGGTGGGGGGGGTGGGCGGGTGGGGGGGTGGGCGGGGTGGGGGGTGGGGGGGTGTGGGGGGGGTGGGGGAGTGGGGTGGGGGGGTGGGTCCCCCGCGCTCCCGCCCGCTGAGCGCCCTGTGTGTGTGTGTGTGTGTGTGTGTGTGTGTGTGTGTGTGTGTGTCTGTGGGGGGTGGGTCCCCCGCGCTCCCGCCCGCTGAGCGCCCTGTGTGTGTGTGTGTGTGTGTGTGTGTGTGTGTGTGTGTGTGTCTGTGGTGGGTGGGTCCCCTGCGCTCCCGCCCGCTGAGCGCCCTGCGCCCGCAGGTGAGTTCCAGTGCGATGCCTACACCTGCAGCAACGGAGGCACGTGCTATGACAGCGGGGACGCCTTCCGCTGTGCCTGCCCGCCCGGCTGGAAGGGCAGCACCTGCACCGTCGGTGGGTAGCTCGCGCCGGCCCCGGCCAGCCCGCCCCGCTCCACGCCCCCGGCCTGCCCTGCCGTCAGGCGAGTCTGCCCCGTGGCCACAGCGACTCCTGTGCCTTCTCCTCACAGCCAAGAACAGCAGCTGCCTGCCCAACCCCTGTGAGAATGGTGGCACCTGTGTGGGCAGCGGCGACTCCTTCTCCTGCATCTGCCGGGACGGTTGGGAGGGCCGCACCTGCACTCACAGTGAGCGGGGGCGAGAGGCGGCGTCTTGGGTGGGAGAAGCTGCAAGGCAGGGCCTCCTCCCCGAAGCTCCCCAGCCCCGGGGAGCTGCGCCTCCTGCTCTCTCCGTGTCCCCTGGCCTCCCTCCCCTGGGTGGCAGCACCATGTCTCCCCGCTGCCTACTTGCCCCGTAGCCTGTGGCCCCTCTTGGCCCCTGTGTGACCCTGCCAGGGAGCCTGAGCCTTCCCAGGACCCTCCCTCCACCCCCCAGCCTAGCCGGGCCAGTGAACACTGTGGGGTCCGTTCATCCGCAAGCCTGGCCTGTGGGGGGCACTGGGCAGTGGGTGGTAAAACAGCAGCTGTCTCTCTCTTTCCTTAAATCCAGACACCAACGACTGCAACCCACTTCCTTGGTGAGTGGCGTCCCTGGGGGCCAGGGTGGGGGCTGGCCCCACGGCCTGTGGTCTCTGACGCCCACCTTCCCTGCAGCTACAACGGCGGCATCTGCGTGGACGGCGTTAACTGGTTCCGCTGCGAGTGTGCACCCGGCTTTGCCGGTCCCGACTGCCGCATCAGTGAGCAGCCCGGGCCCCGGCCAGTGCTCTCCCCGTGAGCCAAGCTACGGATGTCCACATCGGTGGCCACGGTGGCCACGGCCCCTCCCGCTTCTCTGTGTCCTGCATGCTCTAGGACACCGCTGTGCAGAGCCAGCGGGGCTAGGGGTGGGAGCTGTCCGCCTCCAGGCCACACCAGGCTCTTGGGTGTCAGCCCGGCAGTGGGGCTGCCCTAGGGTCCCAGAGTCCCATCCACACAGGGCAAAGGCAGGACGAGGCACTGTGCCCCGCTGATGGCTGCCACCGCTGCGGCAGCATGGGCTGCTGCAGACGCGGGCATCTGGCCTCCACCGCCTTGCAGGGCCAGGGGGCCTGGGTCCTGGGGTCCCCACCGGCCTGCGGCGTGTCCCTGCTCCATCCTGCCCCAGCCCTTCCCTGGGCCCTGTGTGAGTGTGTTGGCTGCCCCGCCCTGAGCACTGCCTTCCCTGCAGACATGGATGAGTGCCAGTCCTCACCCTGCGCCTACGGGGCCACCTGTGTGGACGAAATCAACGGGTACCGCTGCAGCTGCCCTCCGGGCCGCACCGGCTCCCGGTGCCAGGATGGTAGGCCAGCCACAGCCACGCCAGGCCGCGGCTTATCAGGGCCGGGTGGGCCAGGCCTGGACACTCAGCTGACCCTCCCTCCTCTCCCGGCAGTGGTGGAGTTCGGGAGGTCCTGCTGGTCCCGGGGCGTGCCCTTCCTGCACGGGAGCTCCTGGGTGGAAGACTGTAATAGCTGCCGCTGCCATGACGGCCATCGGGATTGCAGCAAGGTGGAACCACGGGGCCTCTTGTCAGCCCTGCCTCCCCTGCCCCGCGCCGTGCCCCACGCCCCGCCCCGCGCCCTGCGCGCCATGCCCCGCCCAGCTCCCTCCAAGCCACCGCCGCGCTGGTGGAGTGGGTGGGGTGAGGCTGTTCTTGGAGACACGCACAGAGCAGGGAGCGGCCTGGGCCAAACCACATCCCGTCCCCCTTCTGCATTTGGGGACACTGAGGTTCGGCCCGAGGCCTACCCAGCTCTGCCTGACCTGGCAAGAAGTCTTTCTGGTGTGCTGTTCAGCTTGTCCGGGACAGTGCTGTGGGACTTACTGACCCAATCCTGTCTTTTCCCTCTGTGTGCTGCCTGCCGTCCTTGTCACTGTATGCCCGTGAATCCAGGTGTGGTGTGGGTGGAAGCCGTGTCTACTGTCCAGCCAGCCTGACTCCCTGAGTGCCCAGTGCCCACCAGGACAGCAGTGTCAGGAGAAGTCCCCGGGCCAGTGCCTGCAGCCCCCCTGTGAGGCCTGGGGGGAATGCCGGGCAGAGGAGCCCCTGCCACCCAGCACCCTCTGCCTGCCACGCTCCGGGCACCTGGACAACAACTGTGCACGCCTCACACTGCGCTTCAACCGAGACCAAGTGCCCCAGGTGAGCGGCTGCCCGGCCGTGGCCTGCGCTTCCGCAGCCCAGCGTGCCTGGACGCCGTGTCTGTTCCTTGAGCGGCTGCCCGGCTGTGGCTCATGCTCCCTTGGCGGGGCGGCTGGGACTGTGCACAGCCGCTCACGGGATCCCATGGGCACCGAGCCTGGGAGACTGAGAGCAGGCCCAAGCTGGGCTGCACACGTGGCCAGCTGGAGACATCCCTAGCTGCACGCGTGGCCAGGGGCCTGGACACTGGGTGGCCCACAGCCACTCGCTTTCTGGCTTGTGTCCGCAGCTCGGAGCATGCTGGATGTTCTGGCCACAGCCTCTGGATATTTGGAACCGGCCTCACGTCCACCCTGGCCTCACTGTGTCCACCGCTCACAGAGATGCCTCACTGTGAGACAGGACAAGTAGAGCTGTTGGCCGCGCTGCCCCCAGGGCAGCGGCAGCGAGTGTCCTCAGGTCCCTGTTGAGGGCCCCCTCACCTGCTGCTCTCTTCTCCAGGGCACCACCGTGGGTTCCATCTGCTCTGGAATCCGCTCTCTGCCAGCCACGAGAGCCGTGGCCCGAGACCGCCTGCTGCTGCTGCTCTGTGACCAGACCTCCTCGGGAGCCAGTGCTGTGGAGGTGGCTGTGGTGAGTGGCAGAGGTCTGTCCCGGGGGACCCTGGGCACCTGGGGGCTGTGATGCTAACTGCTCGTGGGAGAGGAGGCATTAGCAGCGGGAGGTGGGGGCAGATCCGTGGGAACCAAGGCTGTAGCAGAGGTCAGAGGGCACGTGAGGGAGGAGCATCAGGACGTCTCAGACCATGGTGGAAGTGCTACCAGCGGGCCACAGACCAGGTTCTTTGTGAACAGAGGAGGTGGGCTGGGCCCCTGACTCAGGAGCTGTGGTCCAGGCCCACTGGGGCTGACAGGGAGCCTGGGTGAGGCAGTGATCAGCTGCACAGTGCGGAAGGCACGGCGGACAGAGGTGTCGGCAGGTCCGGGCCCAGGCATCGCTGAGCAGAAGCCACGGGCCATGCTGAGCAGTTGCTCATAGCTCTGGGGACGCGGCTTGGGGAGTGACAGCCGAGACTTGGGGCTGGGCTGGGAGGCCGCAACTCCTCTGGAGCTGGTATCTGGAGCTGTGGATGCCTGGGCCTTCTGTCGGGGTCCTGGGGCACCCTGAATGGGCCACCCTGGGCTGGCAGCCCGTGGCGTTGCCGGGGCAGCTCCGGCAGCCTTGTGGCACATGGTGGTGAGGGCAGAACAGGAGAGAGAGAGGCAGAAGGGGCATAAGACAGGCTCCAGGAGTGGCCCGGGGTCTCGGAAGGAGGAGGAGGCTGTGTTGGTTGCACAGCCCTTGGCGTTTGGGATCTGTGTTATCTGAAAAGACCTGGCGTCGCCGCACAGACACGGGCTTGGTGGGGCGGGCAGGGGGGCGGGCGGGGGGGGCCCCGCCCCATCCACCCTGTGCAGGGCTCCCCGGGCAAGCTCTGGCTCTGAGCTTGGGCAGCAGCTATGGCCTCAGAGCCTGGAGGCGGGATCTGGGGTGCTGTCCGGGCGCCCCTGAGCCGTGCCCATAGCTCCACCCTCTGGCACAGTCCTTCAGCCCTGCAAGGGACCTGCCGGACAGCAGTCTGATTCAGAGCGCAGCCCACGCCATCGTGGCCGCCATCACCCAGCGTGGGAACAGCTCACTGCTACTGGCCGTCACTGAGGTCAAGGTGGAGACGGTGGTCATGGATGGCTCGTCCACAGGTGAGCAGGGACAAGAGGTGTCCCAGACCCCCAGTCTGGCAGGCATTGGCCCGTAGACCTGGCTCAGAGCAGGAGGGCACCCGCTGTCCCTGCCCCTATCCCATGGGAGAGGAGGCCGGGCCCCTGTCCCAGGAGCCTCTCCACCAGCCAGAGACCAAAGGAAGTGCCAGGCTGGGGCCCCCGGGCTGGCACTCGGTGTTCCGCGGGCCTCGGCTCTGCTGCGCTCACTGCTTTACCTTCCGCCCCAGGCCTGCTGGTGCCCATGTTGTGCAGTGTGTTCAGTGTGCTTTGGCTGACCTGTGTGGTCATCTGTGTGTGGTGGACGCGAAAACGCAGGAAAGAACGGGAGAGGAGCCGGCTGCCGCGGGATGAAAGCACCAACAACCAGTGGGCCCCGCTCAACCCCATCCGCAACCCCATTGAGCGGCCGGGAGGCAGCGGCCCCAGCGGTGGCCACAAGGATGTGCTCTTCCAGTGCAAGAACTTCACACCACCGCCACGCAGGGCGGGCGAGGTGCTGCCCGGACCAGGGGCCCACGGGGGTAGCGGGGAGGACGAGGATGAGGAGCTGGGCCGCGAAGAGGAGGACTCCCCGGAGGCAGAGAAGTTCCTCTCACGTAAATTCACCAAAGACCCCAGCTGCCCTTCGGGGCGGTCAGCCCGTTGGGTGGCCTCGGGGCCCAAAGTGGACAACCGCGCGGTCAGGAGCGCCAAGGATGTGCAGTATGCCGGCAAGGAGTAAGAGCGCAGCTGCCCGCTGGGCGGGGACCGGGAGCCCTTGCCAGCCCACACCCGCTGGACCGTAGGAGGCTGAGGCCGTGTGCATAGTTTCTTTATTTTGTGTAAAAAAAAAACCCACCAAAAACAAAAAACAAATGTTTATTTTCTACGTTTCTTTAACCTTGTATAAGTTATTCAATAACTGTCAGGCAGAAAACAATGGAGTATTCTAGGATTGTTGCTATTTTTGTAAAGTTTCTGTGTGTTACAAGTGATGTGGCAGGCGGGTGAAGCGAGTCTGTGTTCTCACCAGATCGTGTAACGTTTGTTACCAGAGGTTGTGCTGTTTACAGAATCTTCATTCTTATTCCTCACCTGGGTTTCTCTGTGGCTCCAGGCCAAAGAGCTGACGAGACCTGTGGCTATGTGTGGCCTGTGGATCTCAGTGGGACCTGTGGCTGACAAGCGTGGCCTGTGGTAGCCTGTGGATCTCAGTGGGACCTGTGGCCAATAAGTGTGGCCTGTGGTGGCCGGTGTGGCCTGTGGATCTCAGTGGGACCTGTGGCTGACAAGCATGGCCTGTGTTGGCCAGTGTGGCCTGTGGATCTCAGTGGGACCTGTGGCTGACAAGCATGGCTTGTGGTGGCTGGTGTGGCTTGTGGATCTCAGTGGGACCTGTGGCTGACAAGCGTGGCCTGTGGTGGCCAGTGTGGCCTGTGGATCTCAGTGGGACCTGTGGCTGACAAGCGTGGCCTGTGGTGGTTGGTGTGGCTTGTGGATCTCAGTGGGACCTGTGGCTGACAAGTGTGGCCTGTGGTGGCCAGTGTGGCCTGTGGATCTCAGTGGGACCTGTGTCCGACAAGTGTGGCCTGAGGCAGTCGGTGGGACCCATGGCTGTGGTGGGACCCGTGTTTGTCAGTGGGACCTGAGGTGGTCGTTGACGTGGCCCACGGTGTGGCCTTGGTTGTTGGTATGGCCCGTGGCTGTTGGTGGCGCTTGTGGTTATCAGTGGGGCTGGAGGTCACCTGCATGGCCTGAGGCTGGCAGGCAGACCTGGACTGCCTGCTCCCATCCCTCCAACCTGCCGTCCTTGTTCCTCCTGCCCAGAACTCTCCAGAGATCTCCCAACTGTGCTTCAGAAGTGCCCTTCCTGACTGCTCAGTTTCCCCTCCTGGAACGGCAGTATTGAAGCTTGTGACAAGTGCCTTCGCACCCCGCAGCTGGCCGCGTTGGCCGCGGCCGCCTCCTCGTGAAAGTGCTTTCTGTAAATGTGTACATATTAAATGAATACTCTGTATATTTGACTTAAGAACTTACACGCTCTGGCCTTCCTGTTCTTTGGGTGCTGTTCCTTTCTTTGGAGTTGGGGCAGTCGTGAGAAGGTGGGCCTCTCCTGTGTGGTCCTGGGGCGGGCGGCCTTCTGGTCTCAGCCCCTGGGAGCCACGCAGACCTCTCACACCTGGCTTCACTGAAGTCTTATGGTCTTACACTGACACGGGACCCTTTTTGGGAAGGGGGAGGGGAGTCTGGGTGCCTGTCACCCTACTCCTAAACAGCCAAGTGGCCTTAGGAAATCCTGAAGTGGCTCAGCCCTGAAAAGCTCTCTAGGGGTCCGCCTAGGGGGATTGGGTGGAGTTTAGAGAAAGAAACCCCAGGAAGGTGCGGGGTACATCTCACTGGAGGTGGACAGGGCATGCTCCCCTGAGGGGCAGGGGCTCGGGTGGGGGGGTGCGGGGGGGGAGCCAGGAAGTGCGGCTGTGAAAGGGGGGAGCAGGAGGCGGCTTGGGGGGTGTCGCTCTGTCGATTTTATTGGGTAAACTGGCCAGATGGCCACTGCAAGTGTCGTTCTGGGGATACCGTGTGCCTTCCTTGTACCTGGGCGCTGTCCCTGAACCTTTTCACTCAAGGCTAGCGCTCTGCCGCTGAGCCACTTTGGCCTTTTGGTGGTTAACTGGAGATAAGAGTCTCACAGAGTCGTATCGGTGCCATTTCTGTGTGGGCTCTGGCTGCGAGCGATGCTGTGCGTGACAGAGACCAGTGGTCTCTGGTGGTCTCCGGCGCACCCGCCAAGTCCTTCCAAACCCCGTGCCGGGGCTGCTCACCGGCCAGGCCTCAGTCGCGCTCTCCTCCTCCTCTGTCCCCCGTGGCAGGCCAGGCGTGAAATCTGCCCCCAAGTTCTCCACATTGGGACCGCAGTTGACTGGGGACCCATACCACCAGCCTAGCCAAAAATATCAAAAGCTTTGAGTTTTGAGACTCATCTCACTTTGAGTCCCCAGATGCATTTATTTAGTAGAAATAAATGCGGACCTTGCCTGCTCTAGACCTCTACTTTTCAGTCAGTGAACAGGCAAGAGCTGAAAAGCCTCAGAACAAAGGGAGCTGTCCTGTGACAGGAGCCCTGCCAAACGCGCTCTGAGACATCAGACGGTGCGCGTTGGAATGTCTCAGGTAAAGGTTACGGAACAGGTCTGCTCACCATCTTCAGAGAAGACAGGCTCTGAGTCCTGACTGGTCGAGTGAGGACTGGAATGATGTAGTGAATCTGAAACAGCCTAGTAGGTCATCTAGAAACATACATACATATGTATGTATGTATATATGTATGTATGTATATATGTATGTATGTATGTATGTATAACTTCCTTGTCCAGCCTCCCCCGGCCCCTCACTCCCGAGCCTCCCCCGGCCCCTCACTCCCCAGCCTCCCCCGGCCCCTCACTCCCCAGCCTCCCCCGGCCCCTCACTCCCCAGCCTCCCCCGGCCCCTCACTCCCCAGCCTCCCCCGGCCCCTCACTCCCCAGCCTCCCCCGGCCCCTCACTCCCCAGCCTCCCCCGGCCCCTCACTCCCGAGCCTCCCCCGGCCCCTCACTCCCCAGCCTCCCCCGGCCCCTCACTCCCGAGCCTCCCCCGGCCCCTCACTCCCCAGCCTCCCCCGGCCCCTCACTCCCCAGCCTCCCCCGGCCCCTCACTCCCCAGCCTCCTCTGCTCCTCCTGTGCCCGTGCTGCTTTCCCATCCCTCATAGCCCTGGTTGGCGCTCTGTGGAACTGGCGGCGGTGGGGGGGGCTGGGGCGGGCGGCAAATGTGCCACCTCTCCATGGCAGGCACACATGGCCCTCCCTGAGCCCCACGTGAGAGGCGCTGGGTGCCGGGAGCCTGGATGTGTGCTCCCTGAAACCAGTTTGTCCTGTGCAGTTTGGAGCTGCTCCCAGCTGGGGTCCAGAGGCTCTTGTCCCAGCAAGGTGTGTCCTCTTCATCTGTTTAGAACCAACATGCCAGCCAGAGAGCAGCGGGCGGGGGAGGCGGCACACGGGCAGCACTGCAGGTGGGCGCCGGCTAAGGAAGCTGGCAAGGGCCCGCTGGGGGATTCCTGGTGCCAGTGAGGTTGACATCGAACCCCAGGGCAGGTGCCTGGCTAGTGTGCAGCCCAGATCCTCCTTGGGCAAGGACACACGGCAGACTCCGCAGCGAAGGGCTTGCCTTTGGCTGCCAGGGGCCGAGGAGGGCGGTGTGCTTGGGCACAGGACGGCACGGCGGGCGGTGTGCTCACACACCTGAAACACCGGTCCCCTCCCACCCGGGTCCGCTGCCCTGGCCTCTGCACATGCCCCGAGCAGAGAGCAGTAGATCGTCCAGCCAGGGCCAAGGGGGTCCTGGAACCGGAATCAGCCCGGGCTAGGTCCCCAAAGGCCGTCTACTGCCAGCACCCGGGCGGCTTGGAAGCCCCTGCCCAGAGGATGAGAGCCGTGAGTCAGCGCCACCCGCACCCCTGCCGGAGGATGGAAGCCGCACACCAGCGCCACCTGCACCCCTGCCCGGAGGACTGCCTGCCAGTCTCCTCCTTGCCTCCTTGGTGCCTGGCTCCAGGGACCGTGCCAGCTGGCACTGCTTGGCAACAGCCTTAACTGCTGTGTCTCCGAGGAAACAGGCCTGGGGGACAGAGGAGGACGCACGCGTGAGCTGGTCCTGAGTGGCCAGGCCCGTTAACCCCTGCCGGCCAGGCCCTGTGGTGACAGGCTACGCCAGCCTCCCTGCAGCAGCCCAGCCCCAGCTGCCCATGCTGTCCAGGTCAGCAGGGACCTAGGAGGGCCACGGTTGAGAGCATCGGAACTTGGATTATACAAAAAGGGAAACTGAGGCCTGGGAGTACGGGTAGATACGCTCTGCCACATTCTTCATGGTCTGCCTTGTCCTGAGGACTCAGCAGCAGGAAGCAGGCTCCAGCGGGTCTAAGGGGAGGGGAGCCCCAGGCGGCCAGGGCAGGCAGACGGGAGCGGGTGAGCACTGGGCAGGCAGGTGGTGACATGGGTCATTCTGCCAGCAGAGCCCTCGAGAAGCCCGCTTAGCGTTGGGAAGGGCGGTGCT